TTGTTTGAAATATAGAAGCTTAATCGATATGAGAGAAGCGCTGTCAAATATGATGGTCCCTGGCCTTCCAACTTTTGCTTGGCCAGCTCCATGATTTCAAATAGACTCTCTCCTGAAGTGATCCGGGCCCCCCAAAGCGGTCTCCCATAATGAAACAGGTCTATAGTGGATTCTTCAGAGCCATCTGGGTGTCTTTTCTTGCTATCTCTCGCAAAGGTGTTAATGGTATCAATGGCAAACAATGGTGAAAAAAGCTGCCCCCCTGCACCCCGGCGCCTTTTCTGACTGTGATCACTTGTCACTGGAGGTGAGAAGTTTGCAACCTTGGAGGTTGTATCAAGAAGAAGCGCAAAGAAATCACCCTGAGGCTTGGTCAGATTCAGGTTTCCCATCTTGCTGGTTCGGGCAAATCTGCTGCGAATCGCATCTCTGAAGGACCGAAACAAAAGAGACTCCTCCCCATCAAGCAATGTACGAGCTTCATCTAAACAGATCAAGGCATTTGGAACATTCTTGCCTGTGGCTGCTGTAACTGTTGGGTTGTGGTTGTTTTTTTTAAGATGTTCCTGCCATGATTCCAGCCTTTTCTCAGACACTTCAACATTGGCACACAGTAGCTCAGCGAGTTTTGCACGACGTTTCTGGTTAGACTCATCTAACTGCATATCTATGTCTCTGTAGCTTTTGAAGAAGGTGAAAACTCTTTTTGAGAAATCTTCTTGGTAGTCACGATATGCTTTCATTGTTTGTAGACAATAAAAACCACCTGGTGATACTCCAACACGCCTGCAGAGTTCTACATCACACATGGCTACCATTAGGTAACTCTCCCAGAAAGAGGCTTGAACAGTCCTGATCTCCTTGTGTGGTAGTATGTCTGCAATAGCTGACCTCTCTGGGTATGGCAGCTTTCCTTTTTCTGCGAAATTTGAGTACACCACATATACGCCGTAGCCATGGGCCATTTGGGATATGATGAAACTCTTCCCAATACCAGAAGGCCCCACTACCGATGTATATGGTGCCAAATATTTTCCATTAGGATAAGCCTTGTAGTACTGGACAATTTTGCGGTATATCCCCTCACTGGCTAGTCGTCCATCTGGAGTTGGCCTTTCTTCTCTGTGGAATGCTGATGCAACAACGTCTGACATTTCTTCCACAGGTTTGATGGCTATCGGGAGCAGGTAACAAAAAAGCTGCTCATACTCATCTGTATGTTCTGCAGTCACAAAGCAGTTGATTTTCATGGCTTCAAGCCAGCAGAAAATCAAATCATCACAAGATGCATCTGTCATCTCTAATGAGCTACTCAAATCAAGTAGTGACCACTGAATAGATTTCTCCTTCCCAGAAAGCCCGATGACCGTTTTGATTCGTGAAAGGTCAGTCATAGCAGTAAAGACTAGAAAGCTCTTGAGGTTATCCTTTGTAGTTTCTGCATGTAACTGAAATTTGCGTCTCAGGTACACCTTGGAGGCTGGAGGCAAGTCAAGGTGTTCAAAAAATTTGTCAGGCTCGTCTTCATATTCTCTCCAGCGTCCCTTCTCACTGGCGCTATGATCACCTAGGGATTTCTCAGTCACAATAGAGACGGGCTGTGAGGATTCAGTGAGTGGTTGCGATGACTGAGGTACAGGTGATTGTAAGCCTGACGACCTGGGCTCATCTATTTCCACCAGATCCAGATTAGCAAGTCGACCAAGCACCGATAAGGTAGTCAGGGTATGGGGTCGGTCCGTACCTCGGTGGAGGTACTTGGGGCGTTGACTAGGGCTCGATAGCTCACTGTTGCTCCTCTTCATCTTGCTATGTAGAGATTAGAGAACCCACAATGAGGAATTCTATAGGCTAAGGAAATGGCGTGGAAGTGCAGAGAGAGGAAGATATAAAGTAAAGGAAGAAGAAACGGAAGAAGAAACGGAAAAAGCGTTTGAAAAAACAAAGAACCAGTAATAATGCGATCATTACCCTCCAGGCATCTATACAATGATTCACTTACTAGTAGATACTACCGCTAGTCAAATACAATTCACTTGGGCATCTTCTCAAAATGGCTTCAGTCCACAGAGAAAAGCATATGCTGGGCGTTACGGGTGGAAATGCGGCCGTAAACGGCCTCAGAAGTGGTCATTTTTGGCGTCATTTTTACAGGTCCTCATATTCTATATGTAAAAGGCAAAATGTTCGATGAATCCGAGCACGATCTCTGCCGTATTGTCGGTAGCCGCTTGGCGCGTGTACCCCGCGATGAGATTCCTGGCCTTCTGTTCGTCTGCGTCCAGTGCGGCAAACTCCGAAGTTGTAGGTGACAACGAAAAGCTCAGTGATTGCAAGGACACAGCAATATCATCGTCTGAATCCATGGTTGTATGCGTGTGAGCGATAAACTAATGAGAAGCTGTCTGAAAATGAGAAGCTGTCTTCTGGCAGATGACTGTTGTTGTCTTTGTCTTGGACTGTGGCGGTTCGATGTGGCGGCGTCAAGTGAGTCACCGCGAAAGATGTGTTTCTTCGAAACCGACCATACTAGAACCAACATCATATCTTTCTCATCATAGTTGTACTTGTACATAAGCGACTGCAGCCCTAACAAGATCTACAAGACCACCTTGAGCTTAAGTCCGGTGAAATGACTTGTGATTTTGGACCAAAGATGACTAAGTAAAACATGAAGGTAACGCAAAAAGAGTATGGCTATGCACAAAAGAAAGCCAAAACACATTGCTCTGCGTCAAAAAGCCATCTAGGGACGGGGCAAGCAATTCAGAGAAGCCTGGACACATTGCTGGCCGGGCATGGTTAAAGCACGTAGGGCTGTACCACTACCACACAGGTAGGATGGCTCTCGTGCAAACAACTTGGCTACGCGAACGCATCCCATTCGATGAGACGGCAGCCGAATAGCTGTTGCTTTGGGTCAATATCAAGGCTCTACTGACAGAATTACACATAGCGGTTCCCTGAAAGATCTCCGGCTTACAGTTTGTAAAACAAACATGGTCGATGTACCCAAGAACCTGTATTTTCCTGATCCTCGTGGCGTTTAGCTGCGCTGGAGACTTCCGAGATGAATTAGGACATGCTACTAATGTAGTACGACGCATTAGACCTTAATCTACATTACTGTCTTCTCCGTGAATTGGCAGCAAGCGGCACGATAACCGATACCCTGAAGCTGTTAGCTGGGGACTTATGAAATATAGATCACGTTTCCTTCTGCCGAGGGAGACATACCGGTACAAGGGAATTCATGGCTCTGGGAATGAAGCTCTAGGGGGGCTTGGAATTAAATGAGTCTAATGGAATTATGATGATGTTTTTGTGGCCCTCTCTTTTGTTTCCAGACTGTATGAACGCATTGATGGTCTTTTTTTATTTGGGCTAGATGTTTGCTTGGACATTTGCAATTGTTTTGGATCCTTGTGAGCGTCTATTCGGGAGTCGACTGTGTTGACAACTTTATCTTTTGGATATGTAGCTTTGTCGGTGTTGCTCTGGGGAGTTTGAGATAGTTTGGCAAGTGCCGTTTTGGGATATATATTGAATGATAGAGAAAAATTGATAGGAAGAGTTGGAAATAGATGGGACGAGTGGTAATAATGAGTATCTAACCTGATCAAGGACGAAAGTGAGAGGTGTTGGTGGTATTCACTTGCTTCGTCACCCTATCTTTCTCTCCTCTCCTCGTCTTCCTCTTCCTCTTTTCCCTACTCAGCCACCACACTATTTTCTATTAGGAGTCAATCGACCATCCAAATATCTGCTTTTCATCTTCTTCTCATTGACTTGGACCTCTCAAGCAAAAAAAGCAGTCAAGTACAAGTCACTGCAGCCATGGAGACCTGTCCAGACAGACAGCTTCCTGAGCTCCGCATGGAAGATCAGGTGATTCATATGTTGTCTACTCGTTTTGAACCACAGATTCCTGACATTACTCTACCAGACAAGGAGATTCCTGAAGAAGATCCCTATCGCTATACCAGATGTCGATGGCTGTAAGAAATGCAGCTTACTGGAAAGTGACTATCACTAACCACGGCCTTATGTTCGATGAGCAGAAGGAACTCTCTGAGCGTTATGTGAAATTCAACGTGCAAGAACTAATGAAGGCTGCTATCAATGTCTGCGAAGGAGCAACAAACTGTGGGTTATGATCATTCTATTCAACTGAACGTCCTAATCCATCTTTCGGGTACCAGAATCACTAAGTGCGCCGAGGGTTTTTCCAACAAAGGGTTTATCTTGACCATGGATAACGGATCTGAAGTTTTTGCTAAGATCCCAAACCTCATCGCCGGTCCTGCTCGTCTCACCATCGCTTCTGAAGTTGTTACGCGAGAGCTGGTAAGACAATATGGTTCCCTGTTGACTATTGGCTTATAACTGACCTCTACAGCTCCGTGACGTGTTCAAGATACCCGTACCTCGAGTCCTCGCATGGTCGTCTGACCCTAATAACCCTGTCGAAGCCGAGTATATTATCGAAGAAAGGGCAACCGGCGTCAGGCTACAAACCATTTGGGAGAAATTGCCTTGAGAGCGGAAGTTACAGTCGATTGATCAGGTGGTTGATATGGAAAACAGATTAACGGGCATTACCTTCGATAGTCATGGGTGCATTTACTTCATGGAGGACCTGCGCACATTGATTGATGAGACTGGGGTTGACATCGCCCCTCTTGGTCCGGGATCCCTCAAACACTTCTCTCTGGGGCCCCTCACCAGCCGTGAACTGTGGGAGGGTGCTAGGAGAGACATGAAACTGGATCGCGGACCTTGCTAGTTGTTCTCCGATGATATTTCTATTTGTCGCTGCTGACATGTGCAGGGAAAAATCCGTATGAATACACCCTCGCGCTGGGGATCAACGAAATGGCATGGATTAGATCCCATGCGACCCCTCGAATGAACTATTATCGATCGATGGGGAATCAAGAACTTCCCGAAGATGGCCTCATGCTTCTGACATAGTATTTGAGAGTGGCACCTTATCTAGTCCCCGGATCAACTGACAGGCTCGCATCGGCTAATGTTCTTTGGCACCCTGATCTCCATTTGGAGAATATCTTCGTCGATTCAGTCACAGGTAAGATCACCGGTATTGTGGACTGGCAATTAGCATGTGTCACACCTATGTTCTACCAATCTGATGTGCCGCGGCTGTGCCAACATTTTGGGACTGTCTGGGAAGGCTGAGCGATTTCACAACGACCTGAAGATTACTACACTCTCACTGAAGTTGAGCAGAAGATGATTGATAAAGAGCTAGAGAGTGAAACGTTGCGCAAGTGGTATGAAGCACAGGTTTACCTACAAGCCCCTAAACACTAGCCCGTTCTTACGCAGAAAACACGTCCCTTCCTCTACAAACCCATCTCGCTCGTCAGCAAAGTTTGGGAAGATCGTCATCTTTTCTTCCTCCGTGACGCTCTCATCCTCGTCGCCGCAAAGGATGACCTTTTTTCCTGGTGCACCCTGCCCGATTGAATTTAGCAACGAGGAAATGGAGCTCCACGACAAGGAACTACTGAATGTAGAAGTTGTTGGAAAAATACTGCGATCGTTTCGCTGTGGATCCTTGCTGCCCGTGGGTGACACGGTTGGCCCGGAAGACTATGGTAACGCGATTCAGAGCAGCCGCAATTTCAAAATTGTTTTCTTAAGGTTGGTTAGGGATGATGAGGAGAGGGAGCTGGTTGATAAGATTGGGCCGTATCAGGAGCCCGAAGATTAGATCGGTGGTACGAACTGAGTAGGGTTACATCTACAACCCAGAACCTTGTGGGTAAGTGTACCACCCGGGCATGCTTCACAGAACTGACGTTGATAGTCTGATATCGGTTTCTTTCGCTTGTCTGGACGAGTCGTTTACAAGGGTGTGTGTGCCCAGCTGAACTCATGTGGAGGACATTTCAGTATTTCGACGGTGCGCTGTGTACCTGCTTGCTAGGATTATCCCGGTGTGGTGTATGTGTATTTGAATATCATGTTGAGGGGTCTTTTTGATAACGTGGGTATCTTTATGCTGTCTACGTGTCCGTGCATTATGCTTATGCATCTTTCTTGGGCAAGGCTTTGGTCTGCTAGCAGTGTATGTATGTATTCCTTTTGTCTTCCCTCGGCGCTCTCACAATAAAGACATTGGAACAACTTCCCTAATTGTCTAAGCGTTAAGAGTCCTCGGATCTATTCCGCATTGATCTACAGTAGCATTCTATATTTGTGTTTGTATTTATTACTGTTGACCTGCTTTGCGGGGTTGGTCTCGCACTCGCCCGCATTTACCTGCAGCCTTGTTGCATGCTGTGTTATTGAGCTGGTCGAGTCACATGTAAGCTTGCGCTTGCTCCATTTCTATTTCCGGTCTATGATTGTCTGATTTGTATTTGTACAGAGTAGGTACCTTTTTTTTTCTTTTTGAGTTAGCCGCTTCGTATCTCGGAGAGGCGAGCGTAGGTATAAGTAGCGGTGTCTCTCACTGGCTTCTTGTCAGACTTTGAAGTATCTCAATAAATACAATCAATTACATTATATTCATTCTTGTTCTGTTCTCAATTGCCGAATAACCTTGTCTTGAAATCATCATGCGTCTTCTCTACCTCCTCGCTGCTTTCGGTGTTGCATCTGCTCTTCCGATTCTAGGACGTCAGGTGAGTACCAACAGAATATCCTATGAGCTTTATGAAGCGACTCGTATATACTGGAAACTAACACTGCTACAGGATCCGAATGACCCATGCATCGTATGTCCATAACTATCCAACCATAAAGAATCAATCGACGTAACTAACAAGCCTTCGAACAGCGAGTCCAAGGAGACCAATGCCCCGAAGAGTAAGCTTCACCACCTCCTTCTTGAATATGAAATGTCTCCTAACTTGTGTAGCCACCCATATCTACACCAACCCGGCCCGCTTGCGACTTGCTGTGTATGTCCAAACACTCCAAACGGCGTTGGCATAGCGGACTAACATGTGGTAGACTACGAAGCCTGAAAGTGAGGACAGTGCGGAAACTTCGGAAACCGTAGAAAGTGCGGAATAGGGTTCTTATGAGTTATGGTTGATTGATGTGGTATGAATTATGATTGTGCATACGTTTCTACATGAAGTTTGGAGTACATGTCTGCTATGAATATTTGAATATATATCTGAACTTATTGGAATGTAACGCCACATAGCTACATAGATCATTCGATCTAGTATTCATTCCCCCCGGATGCGCGTACATGCCATCTAAGAATAGCAAAAGGCGAGCATTCCGGAATGTACATATTAATTCCTTCACGCCTTTCTAGAATGGCAGGTGACAAATGCCATTCATGTACGGGGTACATACTACGGAAGACATACCGGGTGAGCATTTCATCTTCTATGGTGCAGATCGCTGAAGGAAGATAGTTGCATGTCTAAGCACTATCTGTCATAAGGTGAACACAGCATGTTTCTCAACCCTTGCCTGGCCTGCAAATGCATACCTGTCAATTGCGCGTGACTGCTTACTTGATAATTACAGCTGACAGATCTGCCATATGAGCTTTTTTGTATTTTCTCACTAAGGGCCATACTAAGGGAGAAAGACAAGCAATGAGAAGGCCACTCCTTGGCTTCAATAATAAGCAAGTCCCGCCGTCCTCTAAGTTACGCTCTCTCGACCCCTTTCCTAAAGAAAACGAGTGCGCATAGAGGAAGAGTCAACGAGCGTTGTAATATTTCATGTTCCTGGTGATCCTTGGTTTAAGGAGGATATCCACAGCCTGTTCGTTCGGTCCCGATGAGAGTTCGGTAACAGTCTTTTCTTCCTTGACGCCATTGAACCAAGATATAGAAAGCTGTGACGGACGGAGACTTGACTTGCGGAATTATCGGTAATGGTCTTTTCTTAGGATTATAGATAATCCATATAATATTGTAAATCGAATAAAGCCCAAACTTGCAGTTGTTGTCGTCCATGTATCTAAGAATCCGGCCTCAGGTCAACACGTCTGTTTTTTGAGAGACTTACTGATTCTTCTACAAATTTAATTTGATGGAACTTCATTGCACATCTGCAGAATGATCCATCAGATCAGATTTCTGGTAGCGTGGAATGTACTTTTTGCAGAGAGCTAGCTGTACGTCTCCCAGGGACTATATATGAGTGCGCAGAGTTATAAGAAGAAGATAATTAGATTCAAGCCCCCGTAAGGCTAGCCTTACATATAAATAAAGCAGGAAAGAAAGTGAAAGAGAAAAGAGTGAATACCCATACGTCCTCCATCGCCCATCTATATAATTACTGCCTCAGGCATACATCCATTCCGCTCGATCTCCGCTCCGCTCTTTATCCACCCACCACCACCAAATCCCACTGCCATTGTCACTGCAATTGCCTCTCCCCAATCCTATAGAACACACCCCAAGCGCGCAACCATGGACATCGACGACATCCTCGCCTCCGTCGACCGCGACGCCAACATCCAAACCCCCGAATCCGCAACCCTCGACCACCAACTCCTCACGCGCTTCTGGGTCGCCGAGCGCGCGGTTTCAGAGCTGCTACCATGGCCGGCGAGTTTGATGGATAGGATGATGGAGAGGGTTAGGAGGCAGGTTAGCACTCCCCGCCCCCTTCAAATCAAAATGCGCTGCGCTCCGTGGAATTGAAAATAAGTGTTAATGGAATGACGGTAGATCGAAGCAATCGAAGATCTAGCAGCCTCATCCGGAGACCCAACAGCAACCACCAACAACGCAACCCTGAACCTCAAACTCTCAATCCTCCAAACCGACCTCGCCCGCACCCAATACCTAATCCGCTCGCTCCTCCGCCAACGCCTCTCAAAACTCACAAAGCACAGCATGCACTACCTCCTCCTCATATCCCCAAACCACAACCCCTCCCAACCAACCCAATCCTCTCAATTATCGCAAACCCAACAACAACAGCCCGAAGACTCCGTGCCCACACCAGATGATATGGCGAATACGAGTCCATTATCGCCGCAGGAGACGAGTTTTATACATGCGCACCAGACGCTTCTTGCAAGGCATTATGGTTCTTCGTTTTTGAGCGCGTTTCCGCCGCAGTTGAGAAGGTTGGATGATAATGCGGGGGGGACGAGTATGGTGCAGGGGCCGGAGGGGAAGGAGGCGGTTTTTGTGAGGTGTTTGGTTGATGAGGTGGGGGTTGTTGTGCCACCAGGGGATGGGGTGGAGGAGATGGTTGGAACGGGGATGAGGATGGGGGATGTTTGGGTTGTTAGGTGGGAGGGGGTTAGGGGGGCTTGGGAGAGGGGGGAGGTTGAAGTTCTTTAGCTTTGCGGAGCGATGGGTTATGGCTTTGGCCAAAGAGTTAGTATATACTGGGTATACTCGGTTGCATTGCATTGCGGGTGTTAGGCGTTTGGGACTACTTGTACAGCGACTACTGGTACAGAGATGGAGTTGAAGATTGAAACTTGATTCATTCACAGCCCAACAAAGGAAATATCCTTTCCTCCCAAGCTTATCCCATTAGCTGTCGGGTATGTGGTATATGTACAGTTAGCGCTGCCATCTCATGCACATTTACATCCTCGCGTTTAGCAAGGTCAGGCCTTCACAATATTAGAAACACAATAGTGGGTCCAGCCTGTAATCAGGAATCTGTACAGCAAGAGAAATGGGAAGTCACTCCACAGGTGACAAAAAAAAAAAAAAAAGGGGGTACAGGGAGGCGGGAAGAGAGGATTAAAAGGTGGTAACAATGAAATCGTCAATCCAAAAGAAAGGGAGATGCCAAGAGTGAGGCAAAAAAAAGAAGATCGTGAGCAAAACATGTTTAGACGTAGATGTGATCTGGCTGACTTAGGGTCAAAATCAAGGTGATCAAGGTGAGACGCGAGACAGGTCGTATACAAAACATAGGAAATAGTCTAAGTGAGTGGCAGTCAAAACAAACAGAAAGATATCCGGTCATGAAATCCAAGATGGTCGTTGATCAGTAAATGTCCGGCTCAAGCGAGCAATGTGATAATCGGATACTGTTATTGATCAAGGTGTCGTCCACCTTGTCCGAAAAATAGAGCAAAGGAAATACCGATAGACGTGGTAAAGATGCAATGAAACCGAAAGTCATCAAGCGAGTGGACGGGAGCTGAGCCCCCTTGGAAATAACAAATAAAGAAAAGATAGTTCAAGGATAGTACTCTCACGATCCTTGACCACTGTCAGCCGTAATGTAATGTCCGAAATGGCTCACGAGAGCGCTCGAAACGATGCAAGAAAATGCGATGGCAAAAAAAGCTGTCACGCTGGTATAACAGGAGCAAAAAAATAAATCAAGAACGCCGTAGAGAAATCCGAGAGTCGATGCAAGATGTTTTTGTTGGGTTTTCTCGTTTTCTGTTCTTTTGGGTATCAAAAAGGTAGGTAGCGTTTAGTAAGAAAGCATCCGGCGAGCAGGACTCCGACCTGGAGCAGGACTATCCCCAAAAGGAGATCCCAAGAAGCGGCCACTAGGGTTGCGGCATCGCCCAGTTGGGCTGTCTTCCATCTCAGGTGAATGTTCCCCAAAGGCAAAGGTCTGTGCACGGTTAAGCTTAGACCGTTGCTTGACCTTACCGAGGCCTCGCTCACAGGCGTGTTCGTGTTCTTTAGCGCTCATTTCAACGTAGTTCTGGGGGTAGCACAACGAGCGATGCTCAGCAAAGAAAGCGCTGTAACCCCCTTCCAAGATGTACATATCGGGATAGCTAAGGTTCGGATACTGATCAATGTTGACAGCGCGATCCCGATGACGCAGGTACTTAGCCATGATCGGAGCCCGGTGGACGGAGTACTCGCAATGCAAAATTAATGCAGTCCGCGGTTTTGCTTCCGCGAAAAGCTGAGCGGCCAGCGACTCCTTGTCATTGTAGTTCAGCGCTCCGTTGATGTGCCCACCTTCATACTCATACTCGAAACGGCAGTCGATCACCAAGATGTGATCGAACCGGTCGTTGTACTTTCCGTCTATAACCTCCAGCAGGGTTCCCTTGTTGATCCGAGCCAATGAATCTCCCTGGTCCTCCGGAATGAAGTGAGGCAGCTGTAGGGAGGGTGTTCCTTCGATGTCGATATCCGGGATCGACGGAAGTGGTGCATTTGTGGTGTAGTTGGCTTCTTTTTCGGATACAACGTCCTCTGGATGTTCAAACATACTCAACGACCGTCTGCATAGTTTTCGAGGGCGCAGGGCCGGGTTGGAGCTCTTGCGAATTGACGACGCGGGAGAGCCACAGCTCTTGGCGTGGCTGCCACTGGTTCCCAGACCGCCGCGCAACCGCGCATTCATGGCAAGACTACCAGATGAATGATGGCGCAAGGCGGGTCGTTCCCGTTGCGGAGATTCCCCAAACATATCCTCCAGCGAGGCCGAATTGCTCAACGAAGTCTTTCCATGGGCACGGCTGTTGAATCGGAACGGGGGAGCTTGGCTCTCGGGGGCCGGACCATTCATTCCCATCTGATAGGAATGGGCTCTGGTCTTCGCGAGAGAGGGACGCAGAAAGTTGGGACGTTTCCTCCTGTAAGAAGCAATTAGACAAGTGTCCTCCCAACTGAACATCGGACTTCTTACTCAATCAGGTTCTCCTTCTGCAGCATTGGCGAATCCTGCAGCGGACTGGGGACACTTGTCCGCATAGGCGAATCCATGTCCAAGCTCGGAGATTTCAAGTCGGTATCCCGAGCAACGGCAAACGATGGCTTGTGCGGCAAAGGCGACATTTCCATACCATCCATAGCGGCAGCAGGCGAAGATGGCATCGGAGGAGTGGTCATGGTATCTTCTATTTATGTGTAAAAACACGCATAAGCATAAACCGTTTGCAAGCAGTTCATCCGATTTTGCATCGCCTTACCATTGCCCTGTGCAAACAGGTTCGAAGAGAACAAAGACCGTCTGGGCGTTGCCAATTGCGGACTATTTTTGGTGTCAACTCTTTGTCCCGGTAAAACAAAACACATAAAAAGGATCAAAGAAAGGATATAAAAAACAATCAAAGAAAGAAACAAAGCAACGCACGCACCTTTGATCGATATGAAAATTCTGAGACAAGTCCGCAGCAAGGCTTGCGGTTGGAGAGGTGCCCCGGACCGGTTTCATATTGAAGTAGTCGCCGCCCTTTTTCATGGACAGGTCTTTGAAGTTGAAAGGACTAGCTCCAATGCCCGACCTGGGACCGCAAGACGGATACGACGTTGGTTCAGGATGGAAACAGTGACCAAACATGACAGATGGAGGCTGCATGGCAGCCAACGGGGACGAATGTTCCATTGCGTTTTCGTCTCGTTTGGTTGTGCAGTAGTACAAAACTCAGACAAGAATGTTCAACCGTGCCGTCACAACCTCACCAGTGGTATCCGATAGATTTTTCGTTCGTTTTTTCAAAGAAAATTTTGTATCCTCTTTCCCTTGACATCCAATTCCAATAGTCGAAATATATCCTCGCCCAAGCTGAAGCTGACCAAACACGGCTCGTTCGAAGCAGAGCACCACAGACCACAATTGTAGCCGGCACTCCTCCGTATGCTGAAATTGACGATTACAGGGCCATGACCGGCAGATATAAAAACGTCGAGTAGAAGGAGTATCGGAGAGCAAGGAGTGCAACGAGAGGGGTGGGAGCGGAGGAGGATCAAAATCAGGTCTCGTCACCGGAAGGTTCTATCTCGTCAAAAACGAAAAAAAAAATTGACAATAACGTTAGCTTTGAGAACAATAAACCCCGAATATTTAAATCCTAATCCTTATTTCCTCTTCTGAGTTCTGGGGGGAGGTGCAGGGTGCAGGACGTACCGAAACGAGCAGCAATCAAGACCGAATAGGAACGAGGAGGGGCACAATCGACGCAGCATGGGAAAGTCAAAAAAGGAAGAAAGGGATAGGTCGGAGGATATACTGTCGAGCAAGGGAAACGACAGGAGGATTGAAAAGAGGAAATCGAAGAGAGAAAAGAAGGGGAGGACCTGGAAGGAAAAATAGTCAAAAATGAGGTCTCAAGAAGAGAAGAAAAAGGTGTGAAGCTGAAGGGATGACCGAACTTGTTGCAATGGCAACGCTGAGTGGAGAGCGATCTCCAGATGGACGAGCTTAGATACGTCGAGTGTACGTCTTTTCTGTACGGAATACTGTGATTTTGTACAGATACAAGACTCGCAGCTTCTGATTGCGTGCAGAGGACAAGTCACTGGTACCTACAGCCAATGCCGTCCTATTCTGCGATGCTCCATAGGCAGACTGTAGGTAGACTGTATACAGTTGTATACTGCACAGCTGGCCATGTAAAATACTGTATGGGACGGTATGGATACAGCAGCACCGACAGGGTTGCAGGAAGGAGCTAGCCCAAAACGGCTAGTGCTCCTCGTTGCCGGGACTCCCTTGCCGCCGCCTCTTTCGCTGCTCAGCAACCGCCGGGCGTTTCACTGGTGACAGCTTTTTTCTTTTTCGTCCTTTCCGGATCTTGTTCGCTTTCTGGTGGTCTGTTTCCATTTTTACCGACATTCTTTCATCGCTGCTCCGTGGCTTCTTCTTTGTCCTTTACATTCTCTGAGACTACTCCAGAGTAGCCTGTAGACTAGCTGGGCTCTGTCCTGTCAATGCTCTGTCCCTGACATACAAAGTCCTGGCATATGCGAGGTTGTATTAAGAAATTTATTACTTCATTTATTACCGTATATACTGCTCCATCAAAACCCTAGAACAGAAAGCGAAAACCGAGAGAAAAATTTAGTATTATACAAACCCTGTTATTGGTCAATAATCGACAGCCATTGTCCAGTCACAAGCCCGAAAAGCTCGGAATGAGCCTCAAATTCTCAAGATCGAAATCTTATCCGTTCCCCACACTTCCGCCCCACATCGGATAATCACTTGTGCCGGCCGACAACAGGATAGTTAGGAATAAGGACATGACGCAAGGAACATAACTGTCATCTGCACTGCCCTCACAGAGTACAGTATGGAGTACATACATAGTGCGGAGAATTTCTCAAGTGTCTCGCCTGCTCATCTGGGCAAATTGCCACATGCCTTTGCAGAGACCCTACTCTTCACATTATCTGATCAGCAGGGAAACATGCGCCGGAGCACTCAATTGGGCAAGCTGGGCGACGCCCAGAATAGATGCCATGACCATGTCGATTTGGGTAGTGATGAACATTGTCGCAGTAACCTCGGGCATCGCAGCACATCTGTCAGGAAACCCGGTTTGCGACTAGATCTGGTTCCAAGATCACCTCACCATTGTCAGATGCGTACTCCGTACAGAAACGGCCAATAATCGTGTCCCTTGCAAGTCTCCAAATGCAAGATACACTCCTCGGACAGGATCAAACTCGATTGAGTTTGAGATATCCTGCACAATCTGTATGGGGTGCTCCGTACTCCATAGACAGCGTGAAGATTTCCCCAGAGAACAAGAATGACGTCCTACCCGCCATTCTCGAGCACTATTCTTATCGCGGTTCAATCTCTTCAAACACGCGTTGATTCTTCAATCGCCCTTACTTTGCACGTTTCAGCATTCCGGCAGGTATGGCCAGGGTTGCAGTGTACTCCGTACTTCGTGGGGGTATTGGCTAGGGGCGTATCCCTTTCCGAGCCTTTCTCCAAGGGTCATATTAACGAAAGCTCCCCGTGCTGCAAATCAGTGCATGAGCGCCTAGTTATCCAATAATGAATATCCTCCGGGTACCTTTCAATAGTCTGTAGAGGGAAAAAAAGGTTCGATCCCTGTTAGCGGCAGCACGTTCCCATATTAGCGCATGGAGGTTAGTGATCTTAGCTCAATAAGTCTCCTGACTTTTATTTCTTTCTTCCGGGGATCGAACGTCATTGCGCATTTTCTTTCCGATTGAAAGAGCACAGAGTTGACGACTATTTTTGCCGAGCGACTATTGTTTCCGATCGTCTTCAATAATCATGGATCGTGCTCGGTAGTCCTTGCTAGTGTGGGCAAACCACCGCCCCAATCGACGATCGGAAACTGATTGTGGTTACAACCCGGTTTCAGCTGGTACCAGAGTCAGACTGGTATCGATGACCAATCCTATTGGGGGTGCTGAAAGCAAAGCTGAGCTTATTTGAGTGAGACGCCGGCCGATTCGAATCGCAATTCCGTATGAGCGACGGGAAAAAGTCGGACACGGCACATGACGAGTCAGGTGAGGTCACATGTTTACACTTTTAAACTCGCAGAGTTTTTCACTCTGGATGTTGTGCGTTGACTCTTGAAGCGTTAAATGCAGGCAAATAGTAGAAACATTAACTGCATCGTATTCCCCGGAGCACTTGGTTGTATGTGCTTTCTAACGATGGTGCGGAGTAATCTTCCGAAGTTCCAACCGACTGTCGGTGTGCCCGATCTTATCACGCCCGATTGAGGGGATTTCGCAGCCGCTGCCCCTCATGTCACCATTGATCTACATCCTCCTGACTATCATTATTGGCTATCCTGCTCCTGTAGGATTTCAGCGCATAACAGAGAGTCTCGACACAATAGCCCCGCGAAAGTTAGTTGTACATACTTGTAATTGGTCATCACTCGCAGCCCTAGCGCCCGTGACCGTGCTCCCCGGCAAAACCTCTCTCCGGTACAAATCTGTTACATTTATTACGTCGTAGACCGATGATGTCACAGTGAGAGCAAGACAAGGCACTACTGTATGCAAGATTTGTTGTCATTACCGCACGATGCTGTATGTAGTAGTGCTTATTCTTGTTTACTGTCCGGAGTTGGCAGTTTGTAAACAAATGTATCGTTTGACCCGTGGTTCGTTACTTGCCATACTTTGTGTGAGCTTTGCGACTCAGATCGGAAAGTTGAGAAGCCATGTGCGAATCTTGTGATGCGCTATACCGGATGCGGTAGGTATGGCATCAATTCGATTTGAGTCACGTGATTTACATAGGGTACATAAGGGTGACTTCTCCGTAATATGGTGTTTTACGAGGTATAAATGGAGAGATACATCGGTACTCATGTTGGAGCCTCCTGTAGCATTAAAGTCGATGCCATTATCCAACATAATATCCATCAATCGCCCACTAGTCAGCCGCTCTTGCCAACAGAGGCTCGACGACCTCCCACCGATGAAATATGGTGGCCACATTTAAGGGAGTGCCATTACGCCAACCTTGAGATTGACATCGGCTTCGTGATTGAGAAATTTCTTCACCATGTATGGGTCCCCTTGAGCACAGGCTGCGTGGAAGGGCCTGCCATAGTCCCCCCAACCATATTCACATTGTCGCCGCCATGACCATTATCATGATAGACCCAATCTGTAAGTTTGGCGAAGTGCGCGAAAAAACCCATTGTTCATTCGAAGAGGAATATGTGCCCCTTTGAAGACTTTACCACATGGGATATGTGGGATAACGTGTAATCGACGGCATATTGCACAAATGGAAAGCTCAACACAATATTGTCTTCGTGAGATAGATCCTTGAAATTGTCGAATGAAATGTATGTCATGCAGGTTCTAGCAATCACACTTTCTGCGTTTGACAACCATTCCCTCCTCAGTGTCTGTTCGAAATATTCTCTTGTCGTGTTATGCGCCAAATGAATGGTTTGGCTTTCTTCATCAACCCTCACGAGCCCTGCACATGCAGAGACCATGTCATCGAGGTCTGGAATGTTCTTTTCATCCAGTACAGATGTATTGGGCTTCACTGAAAGTGCGTGTTGAAGCTCCATTGTAGTAAGGGGTCTCTTCGCGTGGGTTATCCATATAAGCACATTTCGCGCAAGGCCGCTGAGTCCTGGGCCTTGGCTTTCAATCCAGTTGATCACCCCATCGTATGCTAGAGACAGTACTCTGTGCTTGTTGGAATAATCAGACCCTGGCTTTAGTTGTTGAAACTCCTCCAGGGCGTCCAAAACCGCTCTTTCTGTTACTTTATCGCGAAGAGAGTCCATATAGAGCTGTGCGAGCAGGAACCTAACTGTTCTTTAAGTCGATATTCAAATATTAGAATGGGGTAGGAAGGCTTACATTCCGTCAACGGATTTTACAAGTACTTTTTTGATGGTATCTTGTAGGTTTTTGTTCCGCGTCACGCATGAAGGGAGGGCAGACATGTTTCCATCTAGATACTTTTCCACATCGCCATCTGAGGCTCGTATCTCGAGTTTGATAGTTCCAAATCGGTTTGCGATATCATTGAAAAGTCGCGATGTAGCAAATAGCTTGATATTACCATGAAATTGCAGCCCAAGAATTTCCGACAGCAAGTTTGATCGAACGAATGGGTTGCATTCGTCGATGACAAGGAACACTCGTGAGTATAGCTTGAAGGCCAGTCGGGTAACCTTGGAAATTTCATCTGATGATGGTGCAGTCCCATTGGATTGACAATACTTGTATAAGTCTCGTATTTCCCCTGGCATAGAGGAGGATTGCCTGATCAGCTGCTTCGCGATGCTCAGAAGAAGAGCGTGAACCGTTTGTGTTTGCTGCTCTTGGAAGTTCAAGTACATGTAAGCAACCCCAATCCTCGAATTGTTTCGAAATCTATGGAGCAGACTGTCGACGACGCTTGCCACAAGGATCGTCTTCCCAGCGCCAGGAATGCCTGGACAGAACAGCGTTTTCCTGCTCGATGTCAGCCATTTCTGGTATTCGGGAGATTCAAGTAACCAATCCCCAGCTCCTGGCTGCCGTCTACGGATGTAATCCGTATGCTGAGGGCCGTATTCAATCGGAGTGAGCCAGTTGAGGACTTTTATTTTCTCTTTCTTCGATATGTTGGATTTGACATCTCCGACGTCTTTCCTTGTTCTTGAAACAGTCTCACGAACTACACATCCATTAGACACGAAAGATAGAGTGCGATATACTTACTGACCTTCATCAAGTATAATTTTCACCGGGTTTTCTGTATCAACGTCACTTGATTGCACCCATCCCAACAGTTCTTTTGCATATGCTGCAGCGACGGCCGCAGCGTATTCCTGCCACTCGTCATTATTTGCGGCGTCTGCATAATCGCAAATTCCTCGAACCACGATACAAGGAAATTGGTTCGTTATATCAACAGCTTTCGTTTCCACGCACAGCAAGTTTCCGCCAAAGCTTCTGTCAAGATTGTCGCGAAACTTGGCGTCTTTGATATCCATATTGCCGGACGCAATTAGGCCATAATGTATTTGGACCTCCTTGTGGGTTCTCTCTCCATCATTCGCTGCGTTTTCTTGATTGCCTGTCGTCGCTGGTGCTTTGGTTGGAAGGGCTGCCAACAATGCCAGAAGATACCATAAAAAGGCAACGGAGCCTTGCCACACCATGAGATAGACATTCCTTCTCTCGTGACTGCCTGTATCTAGCAGAGAATCCCTCAACGAATCACACCAAGTGTATTTGGACGCCAACTGAGGAAATTTCTTTGCCATCTCATCGAGGTACTCATCAATTCTCGATCCATTCATCTCATGTTCAGTTTTAAGCCGGTTCACAGCGGCCAAAAGGGAATTCGGGGGTCTATTGCATGTCCCGGTCCGTTCGAATTTACCAGTTTCCTTTTTCCCGAAATCCCATTGAACGATACCGGGATAATCTGCAACAGGTTGACTGACAACAACATCGCCTACTCGAACTTTGGGTGGGATACCACTTCCAATCCCAACAATGACCCCGAATCTGATGTATTGGAATGTGCTGATCATCGATACGGCAACAGCCGTTGCGGGGCCATCTCTATTGAGCTGGCAGGCTATCACGATGTTGTGGTCCCCGATCGAGCCCAGTGCGTAAGTATTGTCGTCAGTCCGAGATTTCGGGAGGGTTTCATGTCTTTCTTCGAGCATGGCTATCGCGGCAGTTTGTTCCTTTTCCAGGGCGCAGACCCAGCCAATGGTATAGGCATTGTGGGAGAGTTTCTTGAATGTCGACGTTTGGCTTCTCTCTGACATTCCAGTTCTTAGGTTTTGATGTTTGAATTGAAGAGATAATCTCGAGGGATGTTTGAGCAGAAATCAAAAACATCCTCAATGTTAACGAAGGCCCTGCAAAAGTACTAGTTGGGCCCCCACCCCACACCTCCACAGCGGACTGAACATATGCAAAGCTATCACGGTTCCCACATCATCCTATTCATGGAAGCATATCGCATCACGGGTTGGTGTCCAATTTTGTGAAACCGGGCGTTTAGACGGCTTGAAATGCTTTCCTCTTGAGAAGACCGGATTCTAGCTGATTCCTCTCAGGCCCAGTAGTCTTATTATTTGTATATCTCATGCCGCAATCTGAATATGATAACTTCAGGCCAATTGCGGGTGATCGGCGAGTATGCGGTTGGATCATCAGAATTCGTTGAAGAATAGCTTTCAAGGTCACTCGCGTGCTTAAAAGGCAGAGAATGAAGCTGTTGATTTCGATATTGAAACTCGGTACTAACTGAATACTTACAACTTGCCCTTCTTCCTATCATAGATGAGGATATTCAAGCCATGGTCATTAAGCGCCCAATGTCGTTGCTGCATGAATCTGATCAGCATGGTGCTAAATGATAGGCCAAAAGAAAAACTTAAGGGTCTCCGCAAGCTGAAGCTAGACACTAGCTCCTCCTTGGTAAGCACCCAATGAATTTTTATTCAACATTTCTCCCGAGGCCCTGAACATGACCAAGACAATGAGGTCACTGTCCTCGTGGGGCATCCCAGGACCCCATAAATAGGTCATAAAAACAGCAGGCGTGTGTCCTGAAAGAGCAACGTCCTCGAAGCAATTGACTTCCCGACAAGTGTTCGGCTTTTTCTTTCACTTTCTTTGGTGAAATGATTCGGACCCAGTCTGTGTCGAGTCGTAGTTAGATCAAGGAGCAATAAAAAGATTCTTGGTTAACTCACTGGCATTGTATCTTCAAAATATGACGGGTTCTCCATCTTTTCACCTAGGATCAGGTAGATCCGCTGCCTCAAAGAGGTTTCCAACCCCCCTCTCTGAGCTGTTCATCAATTTTGACGGGTTCATTTTGTACGTACGCCGTTTGCTCCGTTCAGTTAAGATACCAAGCTGGGTAGATCGGATTAAAGTTGTTTGTGTGAAGGGTGCAGTTGAGGTCATACCAAGCCACCGTCACATGACAAGTATAATACGGAGTGCTATGGACAGGGACATATAGTAATGATATCCCATATCAAGTGGTTTTGTTCTATTCAGCAAGTACTACATACAGTACTTTATGGTATTGAAATCCATCCAGAAAGCGTTCAGTCATCATCACATTCAATCGATCGTATAAAAGAGCCACCGTTCGCCGTGCTAAATCCGTGTCATATTGCATTATCGCCAAGAGTAGATCGAGAATAAATAAAGAGATGGGGAAGGAGAAGAATTCATAGAAATGAGGTGGATATGGCTTATGCAATGTACCCATATGTAGGCGGTTCCTCGGCGACACGTTCAAGGTATTCGCGATCAATCAAGCTCTCAATACGTTTCTTCACCATGTTAATGTCAGGGGAGAAACGACCAGATAACTGAGAAAGGACTTCGTTCATGAGCTGCGAGTGGACGAGCTTCTTGCGTTGCCTACAATCTGTTAGCATTGAACTCATGGTAGGGTTGGGAAATGGGGAGGGCATACTTCATGATCCGCACAACAGCAGCTTCAATGCTAGCTCCACGCTCCTCATTCATCTTCTTCTCGGTCTCTTTGCGCTGGTCTTGATTTTCGACCTTGTTGGCCCCGCCACTGACGACGCCAATCCGCACCTTCATGAACGGGCTCTGGAAGTCGTGATTGAAGGAAAATTTATCCGTTGGCTTCACGTCCTTGCTCATGGGTTCTTTTTTCAGCACCCGTGTCTTGGGCGCGACAGCGAGCGATTGCAAGTTCCGGATCAGGTCGTGGTTTGGAATCCGTGTTTGTTCTTGGATTTCCTTGTACGTGAGAGATTCGCCCGCTGGGACGTTGTTGAAGAGTACCAAGATAACCATGGCGTAGGTAGACACGTTGAGTTCATGCCGTTGCACTTTGCCGTTGGATCTTAGAAATGTTGCCCGGATATCCGCAGTGCCCATGCTGGCTTGCCAGGACAGCTTTCTGCCGCTGTGCTTGCTGAGGTAGAACTGCTCGAAGCTTTGCTTGGTGCTCTCAATTTCCTTCGGGAAGATGCACGGAAGCTGTACTTCGCCATCCTTGTTATTCGACATGATCTCCATCGGCCACATTGTGCTGGTGAGGATGTTTATTTCCAAATCCACCTTCTTTTGATCCGGATCGCCAGTTTTCTTGATGTGATCTTTGTAGCTGGATGTTAGGTCATCGGAGACAGTCATATCCCTGAACATGGACTCCAGGCGCTGTGTGAACTGGTTTCCGACCTCCACCTTCATCTTTGAGATCATTTGCCGTTCTGCGTCCATGCTGACTGAGCGCTTCATGAGAAGCCGGCGAGAAAGGTGTTTCTTGTAGTATGTTTCGAAAAGGTCCTTGTCCTTCACGTAACGAAGAAGGGTAATACCATTGTCGAGAAGGAAGTCAACCTCGCTCTCCGTCTTGCCCTTGATGCCCTTTTTCAGATTCTCATCAAAGAACAGAGAAAGGTACTCCGAGCTGCGAGGATTCGAGTTGATGAACTCTGAAAAGCTGTTCATCATTGCACCCTCCATGCCCTGGTCCAGCTTAAAAGACTCCTTCCAGATCCGGTCAAATTTGCTCTTGAGGGCCAAGATATCGTCCACCCACTTGGTAGCAGACAAAGTTTGCTGGTTCATGGGCTTCTCTTTCTCCTTCTCCTTTTCAGATTTCTTGTCGCCGTTTGTCTCTTTCTCAACCGGTTTTGCGGACTGGGCAGAAGTCGCTGAGGCGTTGATTTCGTGCCCCATTTCCACTATACGCTTCTGAACGGCCAATGTCAAAGGTGTCTTCTTCTTGTCAACTCGCGAGTTGAGCTCGTAGACACTTGCCAGAACGTCAATCCGGTCATTATCGATCATGCTCCGAACACCGGTACCCTCCAGGTTGACGACTTCAGCAATGTGTCTGCTGATCAACTCCTCGTCCAGCACGTCTTTGATCTTCGGTTCCGTAAGGGGAGATAACGTGTAAAGGCATCGCTCTCGCTCCTCTGCGATCCGGTTTGTGGCGATTCTGCAGAATGTAGCCGCGTCTGCCATTTCCAGTATCCGCTGCCCCTCTGTTCGGTAGAAACTTCTGCTCGTTTCGATAAACGCTGGCTCGAACATGGTCAGGTAGAGCTTTGATGACTCCTCCTCTGTTATGGTCTCGTATAGCCCTTCGAGCATGTAGATGCAATGTCGTATTAATGGTCGTTCGATGACATGTCCCGCCCGTTCCAGCTGGATCATGAACAGCACGGTATCCTTCAAAACATCACCTACAGCGTAGTCTGAATCGGAGCGTACGTTCGACCGTATTACGCAGTCGCGGAAGATCGCCATAGCTGCGACGTAGATAGATGGTTTTCGGTGTTCCGTAGTAACGACTCGGTCCTATTATTTAGAGAAAGGCATGTTAACCTAGACACATGGCAGAACAGAGCAGCGACAATATAACCAACCATGTACATAAGAACATCTGTGATCATGCCCATACACAACTGGTGATCTTCCCAAGCTTCTCTCAACACAGAGAGAAACTTTTCTCCTGCAGCCCGTCTTTCATTTGACTGGTCTTGTACGTCAATCGGCTCCTTTGCCAATAGCAAACTGGAGGTGATTGACGCAGTGATCCGCTTCTGAATCTCTTGCCCAAGCCACTCTCCTTCCAGTTGCTTTACCCGCTCGTATAAGTCTCCGCATTTTCCCATCAATACGATTCGGTAGGCCTTCCGGTATAGTTCTTCGAAGGAGAGGGAGGACGCATTTTTCGTGTGGATTTCTCTCAGGGACGATGCCAGGACATCCCACGTTTCGTCAAAGTTGTTAACGTTGTTAGAGGTAAGGCCCTACATAGCTCTGTTAGCTTATTGCCATCTTACAGTGTCTGGCAGCGAAATTGGTGGTGGTGGTCTTCACTATTCAGCCACCTTGAGCATCGAGATTTTGCCCAATCCAGCTCATATCCCGAATATGAAAAGAAGGACACTCACCCTTCGCGGGGCATGAATCTTCTTCCTGGCCCTCATCGCCATCTTGAAGGTTCAAGTGTCCGATATTCCGGAGCTCAACGCGGGGCAGTCAAGAAGCAAAGTATCGCGGGGTCAGTTCGAGAAAGAGAGTGACAGTCGGAGCACAGCTCAGCGAGGGTAACGATTCGAAATATCAGCACGACCAAGCTGGCTTCTGCGTTTTCGAAGCATTTCCCCGGATTCTGCAAAGTTGTTGGAGCTCGACTTGGAGATCCGCGGAGTGAAAGAGCCCGGAGAAATATGGTTCCGGCGCAGTTTTTTGTACTCCGTCATTGCCTCCGATGGTTCTGATTCAACATCCTCAATCAATCGATCTTTGTCAACTGCTTACCATTGCTTAAACACATCTCAGAATGCGTCTTTCATCGCTATCCTACGGCCTCCGGGCTCTGAACACCTCTCTCCCCCGAACAGCAATCTCCCGCACAACCACTCGCCCATTCTCCCAGTTGATCAATCGCCTACCTTCATCCTCAACACAGCTCCAAAAACCTCAAAGACCAGCAGTCCAATATCACGCATTCCGATTTAATTCCTCCTCCTCCTCCTCCTCCTCCTCCTCCTCCTCCTCATCCGGCCAATCCCCTCTCACCGACCGCCAACTCGACGCACATACCGACGCTCAACACGAAGAACAGAACCGCCTGCGCCGCGAACAAGAACCCGCATACCAAATTACCTTCACCTGCAAACCGTGCGGAGAACGTTCATCGCACCGCATGTCCAAGCATGGATACCATAAGGGAACGGTTTTGATCCGGTGTCCGTCTTGCCATAACAGACATGTTATCGCTGATCATTTGAACATCTTCTTCGATAAGAGTACTACGTTGGAGGATATCATGCAGAAGGAGGGGAAGAAGGTGACGAGGGGGTATCTGGAGGGGGATATGGAGTTCTGGGACGATGGGGTTGCGTTTAAGAGGGGCGAGGGGGAGAAGTCTGGCGATGGACAGTCGTAACGGGCTGCTGAAAATGGTCTCGAATGATTCCCAGACGGCCAGCTGTGGCTACAATGATGCTAGAAAAAATTTCATCATGCATGTTTTGGGGGTTGAATTGACCAAAAGAGGCGTTTTGGATGGACGTTGCTATGCACATTGATGATACACCCTACTCCATGATCTGTACTTGTACTTTTAGAAACTAATGAACTGTACCATTACTCTATAACATAGAATCTCTATTCATCATATCCTTTTTATGCTTCCCATAAACGCCGTCATAAACCCGGGCAAAAATGTATATACAGCAACTTCAACACCCTTACCAACCCCGTCTCTTTCCACGGAATTCCATCCCCTTCTCCTTTCTCTTATCCTTCTTGCGGTCATTTCTCCTTCTCTTGTCTTGTTCATACTTCTCAGGATCCGTAACAGCTTCAATACGTCTCTTGACCCGTCTACCTTCACGCCTTTCCCGGATGGAGTCCTGCACGGCGGCCATCTGAGTGATGTACTCGGTGGTACCCAGCTTCTTCTGAATAAGATCAAGGACCTCATGGCAATTAGACACAAGGGCCTTGTAAGTTTCACGGAACTCCAAGTCCGACGACCGTGGCGCCGGGATAGAGGTATCGGTCAGATGCTGCAGGGGAAGGAGGATAATTGGGAGGGAAGGCAATATGTGTTCTGCTTCGAGGTGCCGACAGAGCGCCGCAAAAAGACCGACAGATGCGGTCCTGGGAACGAGGGCTACCGCACGCGTATTGACGAGTTCGCGGCGCAGGATTGAGGAGGCTTGTTCGAAGACGTAGCGGATTGCGGTCTTTGACGTTGGATTCTCCTTCTCGCCGTCGGCGTGTCCGTTTGTCTTTGCTTCGGCGGCAGCGGCGTCGGCATCAGCTTCGGCGTCTTCGTCTTCGGAAACGCTTTCGTCGAGTTCCGCGTCCTTGCTTCCCAAGTTGGAAAATTCGAGACCATTCTGGGCACTGCATCGGCAGAGGAAGACGATGTTGCGGACGGTCTGCATTGCAAGTTCCTCGCTGACACGGGGAGTCCGGAGACAGCGCATGCTGGCACGGAGTAACTGCAACATCGCATCTCTATCGAGAGTCAACTCTGCACTTCCGACCAGAGGAATCGAGCCGAAGCCGTTGGCTGCGTTTGTCTTGGCGACGTCCGCGAGCCACATGCCGACAAGGTTTGCGGCGCAGGTTTTGACCCAGGCGTGCGGGTAGAAGAGGCACTCGCGGATGGCAAACCAGATCGTGGCGCATTGCTTTGACATGGCGATGAAGGGGACTGTCTTGCAGAGTTTGAGGTACAATTGGAGAGAGAAGTAGAGCGTCTCCCAGTTGTCGGTCGACTCATCCTTGAGGATCGGCTGCATGAGTTCAGGGAGGACATCGGTGACGAATCGCGCCTGTTTTTCTTTCTCTGTCTCCTCGGCTTCGAAGTAGATCCGCATGGCTTGCAATCCGGTGCTGCAGAGGAGCATGTTGTCTGTCTGCTCAAGCCATGTGTGGATAGGACTGAGAATGGTCTTCATCTGCTCCCGGTCTGCCCTGCTGTAGAGTTCTCCGAGCAAGGCACCCGCCATCTCCCTGCATTCAGGCGCATCGTCATTTGCCATGACAATAACTAGCGGCAGGAAGAAAGTACCGACGATATCCTGCGCAAGAGCAGAACCCGTCTTCGACAAGAGCATATGTAGCGCGTCCATAACCGATTGACGGCCATCAGCGTGCTTGTACTCGAGGTTCTTAGCCAAGAAGCTAAGCTGCTTGGTCCAACGACCCTTGGCCTGAGGATACTCGATCAAGAAATGCACATAGACACCGCGTGCCAGATCCCGAGCCGCGCGCGTCTGGTTCGTCACCATCATGGTTGCGATGTGGTCTGCTAGCTCATACATCTCTGGCACCACGAATTTGCGGGCCATGACGGCTCTGATGAAGTTGAAGGTCACACCTTGACGATCGGGCTCTTCGATATCGGATGTGAGACGTTGGAGCAGGTAGGAAAGATGACCCTCCCTGAGTTTCGTGTTCTTCCTCTCGCGCAGCATGGCCGAGATCAGCTTCAGGGCTGCTTGAGAACCTTCAGTGTTTGTGCTTGGTGCTTCCTTGATGACCTTGACGGCTTCGGTGAAATACACATGAGAGTTGTTATCAATCTCAGCCAGAGGAAGCTTGATGATAGTTGACAGCAGCCGAAGAGCGGAGATCTTCACCTCCTCGTGCGCCTGCACCAAAGCATCACCAATGATGGGTAGGAAACCAGCCATGTTACCCGGAGTGATCAGAGACCCAAACTTGTTGAGGACTGCTCGCAGGACATCGAGCGAAAACCGGTTCAATTTGTAGAGATACGACGAAGTGGTTCCGCGCTTCTCGCCCCGTTTGGCACCTTCGTACTTGATCAAGAGATACTCGCTGGAACCAGGAGCAGCGGGCTTATTATTGTCATCCTGAACGGGCTGTTTATAAGACTCCTTAGTGACTTCGTAGCAGAACATCAGAAGATCACGGCTTTCAGCGCCCGGGTTCCTCAGGAGACCGATTCCGATTCTTCGTAGAAGTTCGTCGATCTTTCTGACCATGCTGGCGTTAAGCTTCTCCTGCAAGAGGGCCTGCAACGGTCTGGTCAACTTCGACAGGCTCGGGACAGTAGAGTTCTTAGCCAGCAGTTCCATGGAATCGTAACTCTTGCTGCTCTTGACTTCCTTCATCTTGCTGGTATAGCCTTCCGCCTCCTTCTCTTGACCAACGGTACCGAAGGTATCGTCCATGACCACGGAAACCAGGTCAGGCAGGCAGTAGTCCAGGTCTCCTTGTTTGAAGTCGTCCGTGGTAGAAACAAGCATCGAGTGAACTGTGAACGAAAGAACGTGGAGCTGGTAGCCTCGCTTGAGCGTATTCCGCAGTTCCCTGAGGATATAACCGAAGTAGGCAGGTCCAAGGAGAAAAGAAATATCGTTCAATGTCTTCCGGGCGGTATCCCGAGAATCCTGAGCCTTACTCTTCAAGATACTGCAGACGTCCAGGAGGACAGGGGGCAGACGGATGGCCATGTCTTGTTCGGGCAGCAACTTCAGCAGTTTGATGGTGGTAACCGCTGCTGGCAAACGAAGACTCATCTGCGCCTCAGCCTTCCAATGGATAAAGTTGGTCAGGAAGGGAGTGAAGTTCGTCGTCAGTTCGTTGGCGACTTTAGTGGCAGACGGGAGGGATCGAGCGAGTTTGGATTTCGCAGGCACCGCGGCGTCATTGTCGTCTGCCATTTCGTCGTCGTCGTCAGCGGCGTCGTCGTCATCAGACTTAGTCGGAGGTTTCAACTGGTTCATCGCGTTTGTCAGGGCATCTGCCATTCTACCCAGGAGTCGCAGAACATTCTTCTCCATTTCAGACCGGCTTTCCATGTAACCACGGTATCTCCGGAAGGTGTTTCTGAACTGGTTCCAGTCGAGAGATTCACCAAGCGTTCCAAGGGTTGTCACAGCTTCAGCAATCAGGTTGTGGGTATTCTCATCTCCCTCCTCGTCGTCAAACACGAAGTGTTCGACAAGCGGGATGAAGATTGTGCTGATGTTCACTGCCTGAAGCTCGCCCTTGATAGCCTCGCTAGCCAAGCGGCGCAGAGCACGGAGACGGCGATGCTGCTGAATATGAAGGATGTTGTTGAAGAAAGACGCTTCTTCATCATCACCAACAAGAAGAACATGCAAATCCTTAACAGCAGGCCTTTCCGGGTTTAACTTGACAAAGTAGCCAAGCGCAGCCACGTATTCAGACCGAATCAACTCCGATTTCTGACGGGCACCGCCTTGTAGAGCAGGGTAGAGAGTCTTGCTCACAAGGGTGTCGAAGTCTTCTACGCCCGCGTCGACCGGGAGAATGGCCCTCTCCATGAAACGCTTCAATCCGAACGAGGCGCTACCTCGGATAGCCAGCTCCTCTTCGTCTTTCATGTGATATAACATGTTGTAGAGCAATGGCCGCCATTGCTTTGCGTTCAAGTTGTTCCAGAGATCCTCGTTAATCCTTCTGAAGGCCTGGAGGCGACGCTCATAGTCCGCTCCGAGTTTCTTGAAAGATCTTGAATTCAAGTCCTCGCACAGCTGTGCGACCTCGCCGAGTTCGGGGTCATGTTTCGCGTATGCACTGAATACTCTTGAAAGCACTTCTCGGTTCGTGTCATCTCTGAAATAGTCGAAAGTGGCCGAGATAGCCTCAAATACGGATTGAGAAAGCTCCGGGTCCTCACTGGGCTTGTAAATTGGTAAGAAGTGCTCGAGAATGCGCAACAAGCCCGACTTGGTCTTGGGGGAGACACGGTCTGCAGGCTGGCGGAGAAGGTACGTCGTGATGCTGATCAAGCTTGAGGTCTCGCGCGAAGACTCGACGCACGGGGCGAGGAGAGACAGGGTTTGGACGCCCGACACCAACACAGGCCGCGAGGGACCTCTCCTAAGAAGGCGACTGAGGTGAGAAAGGGCGTGTTCGATGTAAGGCGACAGGACGGTCGAGCGGATTTCCTCCGGCGAGAAGTCACTCATTTCCTCTTCCTCTTCTAGCTTCTTGCCGCTAGAATGCTCAATCAGTGGCACCAGCACTTCGTCCATCACGAAGATTTTGACGGCATCACGGGCTGAGTCCACCCCAAGAGTATCAACAACCTTTGTCAAAACAAGTTTATTCTCCTGCACGAGGTAGAAGGAAGATCTCGGTGAAGAAGCCCAGGTGTGGAAAAGCCGGAGAAGACCCGATACACCCTGAGCCGTTTCGATGGCAAAGTTCTCCAGTCTAGGGTTGATCACATCCTCGTAAATAATGCGAACGTAAGGGGTCCAGTCTCGATCCAGCGAGACAGAAAAGATAAGCTCAAGGCATCGAATACATGTGTGCCGAAGGTTGCGTAGCGCCAAAAGCACTTTTTCCTCAGTAGCACCGGCGCTCTGCGATTTCTCAAGAGTTCGGCACGCTCTGACGAGACAGTACAGGACCACATTCAAAGAGCTCTCAGCGAATGGAGTCACACGGGCCTGGAGTGTGTCGAACACGGACTCAATTAACTTCAACAGACCCATCTGCCTCCTAAGACTAGCAAGCTCCTGCTGAAACGGCTGCTGGTCAACTTCACCATCCTTGACCAATTGCACTTCTCCAAGAGGGCCAAAAGAGACCTGCATGAAAAGCGCGAAGTATTGGTCTGGCAAGTGGGACAGAGTCCGCAGAATAGCCTTTCTCCGCCCAATTTGTCCTGCTTGTCCTGCGTTTGCGCTCGCCTTCGAAATCATTCGACCGTAGAGAAGTCTCAGAAGGACAGGCAAGACTTCGCCCTTGTGCCCCTCCTCGATAGTACTATCGTCTTTGCCGACATGGACAAAAGCAGATAGCTCATCTCTGAATCTTGATTCATCCAGGATATTCAACAAATTCTCCTGATACGGCAGGATGCTTGGCGACTTCCAAGTGAACAAAGCTTTGAGGGACAATCGCTGGATGTCGGAATTACCGTGACAAAGCAATCCCAGCAGCGCATCGTGAACCTCGGGTGCCCTGAACAAGACCTTGGGATTGATAAATCGTCCGAAGAGGGCAAGGAATGACAAACGATCCTTGAAGCCCCAGGGAACATACTCCCCATGTGCTGGCATATCCGATGAGTCGGACTCGGGTTCCAAGTGCGCAGTATCCTCCTCATCATGCTGAGCCCATGACATAAACAATGGAATGACTTGACGAGACCGTTTCTCAGCTATCATGGGAGCTGCGTTGAGAACCTTAAGAGCGTGGGCGCGAGGAGTAGTGGGGAGGACCTCTGCAAATTCGTGTTCCTTGTCGAGGGTTCGTTGCAGTACTGCAACCGGCTGCACTGTAGCTGAAAAGTTTGCACCCTGCACTCTCTCGATTCTCGCAGCGTTGAAGCACCCGTATTCTCCATACGCGCGGGGGTCGATGTCGTCCTCTTCGGTCTCCTCGTCCGGCACGTCGGGACCACGCTCGTGGAGCCATCGAATCGCGATGTCCGAAACAATATTCTCTCCCTCTGAATGTTCACTAATCGTCTTCAAAGCCTCGGCTGCATCATCCCAGAGAGGACCAAGTTTCTTCGAAAACAAACCGAAGCAGAAATGAGGTATCAAGGTGGCCATCCATCTGCGAGAAACTATTTGCGGGTAAAGGATGACGAGTTTACGTAGTTGCATGGAGATGACACGAGCAGTATCTATGTTGAGAGGGCTCTCTTCAATCTCAATGGCTAGAGATAGCGGAGAGCCATCTTCGCCTATGGCCTGGAGTAGTTGTTGCAGGACCTTGAGGGACAGCAATCGTGATTCATGCGACGGGCCGGCAAGGTTCGTAATTAAGGCATTAGCAAAGTCATCCGATATTGACTCCTTGAAGCCGGAGGTCTTCGAACAAGCTGAAACGTAGGACAAGACTGCATCGAGGAAGAAGGGAAGGCGGGAATATTTCGTGGCCACTTTCTTGATAGAATCCCAGAGTTTCAAATCGAGGTCGTCAGACTCGGCCGCAAGGTCGACATAGGCTTTGAATCCTTGGCCAAGGAAGAACTTGGTTGTGACTGATGGCTCAGATTCGTTATCGGTCAATGCATGGGTTAAATGATCGTGCAGGCTCCGGACAAGATCAGGTTGAATAGACGGGTCGGAAAACAACAATATGGCCTTCGGAAGCTTCGAGTACGCATTCATTAAACCGACTTCTGCAACGTCGGGGCTGGATTGGTTCAACGTCTCCTTTATACGAGACTTCCAAGAGGTAGGGCAAGTGATGTAGCCAGGCTTAGATGACTCGGAGGTGACACAGCCGGCCTGGTTCAAGCGCAGTATTGTCAAGCACAGTTCATACTCATGCTCGCGCCATGAAGAGTTGACAAACCTGGATTAAATTAGCATTCAATAGCCTAAACCCCATGACTTTAGATTCTTACTTCTGGAAATAAGGAAGGACAACTCCATGGAATCTCTCAGCTCCATATTCTGAAAATGTGGCGCAAAAAGACAAGAAGTAGGCTGAGAATTTGTCGTTCGCGACAGCATCCATGAGAGGTCGCATGAATGGTAGCATCACATCCATACGAGACACCTGGAGTGCATAGGCCACCGTCGTTAGAAGTTGAGGCATCGAGCCAGCGTACGCACTTAGTGCGGCTGCAGCCTTCTGGAGCAAGAGAAGCAAAGTCTCGTGAACGGTCTTCCAGTTGCTCACCCTACAACCCTTACGGGTTGTAACACATAGGAACAGTAGGCGACAGCAGATCTCGGCGCGGCGACTGTCCTGCTTCTTGGAATGGGTCTCGATGTATGATGTGACGGTGTTTAGGATAGGCTCGAACGTCGCGGCAGTCGTGTCATGGCAGAGGTTCATGACGATACCACCAGCGACTTCCAATGCTAGTCCACGTTGTAGATCATCCTCCGCATATGTCTTCTCTAGGAAGCAGCTCAAGATATCGGTTCCGTTGGAATGGATTCCCCCTTTGACTCCTTTGATCGAATCTGAGAACATAGCCATCAGTCCCTCCTTGTATGCCTCGACGTTCTTCGAACTCGCCGCTGTCTCTCGCAGGTCGTTCAGTAAAAAGGATGTCGCAAGCTCGAGGGGCTCCTTGTTCTTGTAATAGACAAGGCCGGCCTTGCGGATGAGGAAGGACATCGACTCGGCGGCGAAACGGGCCACGAACGGCTTTTGGCGCTCTCGCCCTAGATAGGGTGCCATAATACCCAGAAGCTGTCTCAAATCCGGAACCAATAGCCTCGAAAGGAACTTGAAAGTCCATGCTATACAGGAGAAACTCCATTCGACCACCTCAACCTCCGGGTGTGTAGCAGCAACCGAAGCCACCAGCGTCACAGCAGTCGCGAAATGCTTCTCAAACCGCACCCCCAGGTCCCTCGCAAACTGCGCAAGAAGACTCAGAAATGCCTCCATGGAATGCTCGTCCCTCTTCTCGATACCCTCCACCAGCAATCCCATAATCCTTTCTTCATGGTACAAGATCTGAGCAAGACTCTCGGATAACGGGCTAACTCGACGGGCAAACTGGGAAAAATTCTCGGACAGATTCAACTCGGACCAGTGGTCAAAAGCCGATCTGAAATATGAAGACGTCTCATCTCCTTCTTCGCCAAAACTCGGCCGGCGCACACGGTGAATCGGGTCGATTTTAAGCTTTGCGACGCGCTGCGAGAACGGCTCGAATCGATGATTTTTGGTAGTTTTTGTGTTGTTTTTTAACCGTCTCACGGACTGGGGCCGTGAGTTCGTCGACGCCACCATCCTGAATAATATGAGCAGCGCCGGCTCAAAAGTGTCTATTGTAGATATCTCGAGGCGTCTGGATCATTTCCTCCATCAAAAAAAATTCATCGGAGCGAGTGTTGTTCCGGTGCGGAGATTAGCTCGGTGTTTGTATCCACGCTAGCCTATCATAGTTAGCGGGTATATCACGTGAATAAAGCTGGCCCAAGCTCCGTTTTTGGAAATGGCGATTCTTCGTCGCGTTGCCAGAACAGACTGAGCGGGCTCTATATTTCACTTTCATTGCTTAAAGAAACTTCAATTCAACTGCTGCTGCCCTTTGAGTAGCCCCGCGACGAAAGGCATTGAGGTGTATATGTGATGTTGATGTCATATTCCACTTGAAAATGGCGTCTAAAATGTAAGTCTACCGTGAAGCCCTCCGCGTACATGCACTGCTAACAAGAATAGAATTGTCATTGGAAATGTGAACTGCGAGCTACGAGAAGTCTTCACCAAGCTCGCCAAACTCCAAGCTAAACAAAACTTTGCCTTTGCAGTCATTGCCGGTGATCTCTTTGGCGACTGCACGACAGAGAAAGAGCTTGATGAAGTCAGTGCATTGCTACAGGAATCTATTGTCGTCCCCCTTCCAACCTACTTTGGCCTCGGGAGCAGACCACTTCCGACGCGGGTGGTGGAGAGGATAGAGGCAAAGGATGAGGTGTGCTCTAACCTGTATTTCCTGGGGAAACGCGGAACCCTGAAGACATCAGAGGGAATCAGACTCGTGTCTCTTGGTGGGACGCTGGAGAATGGAAAACAGAGCAACAGATTTCACCCGGGGTATACAGATGCAGACGTGCGGGCTCTTTATGGTACAAATAGTGCGGATATCCTAATCACGCACCAATGGCCGAAGGGAATCCGAACAGGATCCAAAGTCCAGCTTCCAGACGGTGTCACTACTACTGAAGAGACACAACCTCTTGCAGACCTCTGCTCAACCCTGAAACCACGCTATCACATCTCAACTTCTGACGACTTGTTTTACGAACGTGAACCCTTCTTCCACATGCCCAGTGAAGAACAACCCGACGAAAAACCCCTAACCCGCTTCCTCAGCTTAGCATCCTACAACAACCCCTCGAAGAAAAAATGGATGTACGCCTTCACTATCGACCCTAAGGCACCCCATCCACTCACCGTGCCCACGGGTGCAACGGCCTCCCCGCTAGGCCCCGTGCAAACCAAGCGCAAAGGCCTCGCAAGCCAGCGTGAATCGTACCACCGCTTCGCAGGCCCCGAAGACTACGAGCGCCCCCGCAAACGCACGCGCGGACCACCACCAGGGCCCCAGGAGTGCTTCTTCTGTCTATCTAACCCGAATATCGCAACACATCTCATCACCTCCATCGGGAACGAATGCTACCTCACCACCGCCAAAGGGCCGTTACCATCCGCTAAGACGTTCCCTGAACTCGGATTCCCATCACATGTCCTCATTATTCCCTTCACGCACACGCCTACTCTCAACACAGTCACAGATAAGGAAGCCCGTCTATCCAGCTACACTGAGATGCAGCGCTACCGCACCTCTTTGCATTCAATGCTCAAGCAACGCGCGAACAACCAACTAGGCGCGGTGACATTCGAAGTCAGCCGCGGAAACGGCGTCCACATCCACTGGCAATTCGTCCCTATCGCATCCGATACGATCACGCGCGGACTCGTTGAGGCAGCATTCAAAGTCGAGGCGGAGAATCTAAGCTATCCCAAATTCGAACCCCCGTCTGAGGCTGCACGTGAAGACCCAAGTGCTGAACCCGGTGATTTCTTCCGCGTCTGGATTTGGGCCCCATCATCATCTTCTGGAGGGGAACAGAAAGAAGATACTAAACCAGAAGAAGAATGCATTATCCTCCCCCTAACTCCCGACTTCCGCTTCGACCTCCAATTCGGCCGGAGAGTCTTGGCTAAGTTGATGGGTTTGGAAAAGCGAATCCATTGGAAAGACGCCGTGCAGTCGCAGACTGAAGAAGAGGCTGATGCGAATGCGTTCAAGGAGGCATTTAAGGAATTCGACTTCTCGCTGGAGTGATTTATTTCTTCGAACTATTATGACACATTACACTACATATCTAGATATTAATAAAAAAATTCAATTTAGAACCGGTAGTATTATCCTATCCTACACCCCCATCCCTCACTAATTTCTTCTCATTCGAATATACAATATCAACACCACTCAAATCCCCTCAATATCAGTAGAAACACCCTCCCCCAACTTAACCCCCAATAATTCACCCAACGAAACGTCCTCTGGCACTTCGAAGCTGTTCCGTCTTCATTAGCACCTATCAATTCCATCTGAGACCAAATTGGTGGACGGGTGCATACATAGTAAACTGCGTCGGCGGAAACGAACCCGGCTCCGCGATAAGCTGCTTGAAATCCCAAGCGCCTTTTTCGCCGTACTTGGCTTTTACTCTGCGATTTTTATTATTAGTCCGCATATATTATTGAGGAAATGGGGAAGGGAAAAGGAAAGGGAACGTACGTGTTCTGGATATCCCTCCCGAATTGCTCGTAGGCTCTGGGGTTCTCGTATTTGACTTTGAGGGTCTACCGAGAAAACACAATTAGTACATCGTTTTGCATCGCTTCGAAAAGGAGAGAGATGAAAAATAAACATACATAAAAAGGCATTTCGCTTTCGCCGTTTTGCACTCGCGCTCAACGCTCAAAACTCAACAATCAAAAAAATAAAATAAAATAAATAAATGTAAAACCAGCAGATTTATATATCCGATATGTTTAAACTAAATAAAACCCATCTGTCCTTGTTTGCCTATTGATTTCAAAACGCGATGAGATGAGATGAGATGAGATGAGGCGACACGACACACGACAGCAGCAGCAAGCAAGCGACAGCCACGTGGCACATCATGCAGAGTCCCATGTTGACATTTCAGTTGGATTGGACGGTGTAGCTGTGTTTGTCGCGGTGTGATACTTGTAATCTCCCCTGTGGCGTACGAGTAATTATATATCTTGTTGTGCTCATTATCTGGGTATGTTGTTGACAGCACTGTCTTAGAGATTAAATCATGTACTATAACTATGTACGACGTAAAAAGAATAGAATGGGTGCTATGTGGGTATTTTGTGCACCCTGTGCACATGGACATAGGACTAATAGAAGATCGAAAAGAGAAAAGTTATTCACAACCAAGAAAACAAGTCAGACACCAAACCCGAACAACCCATACAGAACCCAACCATAACATAACAAACAATTTCCTTTTTCATAAAATCAATAATACCAGAGATGCTGTATTCCTTTTAGAAATCCCGCTAGAAATTCACTGAAGGCTTCCGTCCACTCTGCAACAGACTCGGGGGCCTGCCCGGGCCATTATTCGTTTCGGTGAAAGGTGGCGGTGGGGACGCTGGAGAAGCAGCTGGCGATAGTCCGCGGTAGCTTGGTGGCTGGGGGAATCCCGAGGAGGGCTGGCGGAATGGCATTGCAGGTGATTGTTGGCGGAACGGCACGCCAGGTCCGGGAGAGGGCTGTCGGAAAGGAACCCCAGGACCAGGGGACGGTTGGCGGAATGGCATACCAGGGCCAGGAGAAGGTTGACGGTAGGGCACAGCAACTCCAGGAGACGGCTGGCGATAAGGTACAGGATCAGGGGTGGAGATGGCGGAGGGCATGGGGGTATATTGCGAAGGAGTGTAGGCGGCAGGTGCTGGAGAGATCGATGGCATCGGGGTGTACTGTCGAGGCGCATATGGAGCTGGAGCTGGAGTTGGGCCGGATGGTGACATGCCATACGGGTAGTCTCCGTAAGGCTCATCATATGGCGAAAGCGGAGCAGTAGCAGCCGGGGGGGATTGCGGGCCCGGAGAGCGTCGCGCATGCATGTTCTGCTCACCATAGAAGCTAGGCGTGGTGCCCGTTCTGGCAGGCGGGCCCATGAAGCTTGCAGGGGATCTAGGAGCAGATGGGGATCGGCGAGGCTGGTTCAACGGTTCCATTTCCATATCCTCCGTGCTGGTGTCTTCGACCCGTCTGGTTCGAGCATTATCCCAGGTAGGCATTTCAGGCAAAGCATCCTCGTTAACCTTGAACCCAGTCTTGGACGGAGCTGGGCTACTGGGGGTATCGAATCGCGCGATCTGGGCACCCCGATACGTAGGTGGAGCCATGGGAGGAGGAGGCTGATAGACGGTTGCTTGTGGCATGGGAGGCGGCGGCTGATGATACGGCGACACATCATCCATGTACTGCTTTCGAGAATCCTTATTCTTCCGCGGCGACGGGCAACAACAGGATAGACAGCGACAGCATGAGGTGCAACATTGGATGCCGCAACAGAGACAATTGATAACACAAGCCAGGATCGCGATGATGATGACTGCAGCGACAATGATTGCAACGATAACGGGCCATTTGCAGTAGGATTTGGCCATACATTTTTCCCAGCTGGAAAAGGTCTCTGGCGCAGATTTGAAGTCGGAAATGGCATCTCGCGCCCATAGCATGGACGATTTACCCACAGGACTCATGCTGGCGGTGTTGCGATGGTTATGTTCCTCCACACGATAACGATATCAGACGAATCGAACGGTCAAGTCGCAAAAAATCAGCCGAAATTTCCCTGGAACAATGGCGTGGGATTCAAACGAACGTCGTGCGCGGTCGGTCGTCGTGCCGGGGTATCGTCGCAGATGCGGTTTCGTAAATAGTGAAGAGCACTTAGGCTAACTCCAGCGTAGATTTCTGTAAAGAGCGTCTGAAAGTGAATATATGCCAGGCAGATGAATTAAACCAAAAAAAAAAAAAATAAATAAAAATAAAAATAAAAATAAAAAAAATAACCAGAAAAAAAGAGAGACTGGGAAGGCGAAACGACGGAACAACGCTGGGAGGAAGCCTCAAGGGGCCTGGCTGGGCTCGTAAATAGAGCCCTTTTTAACGAAAGACAGAATATTGAAAGAAGGAAGGAACGACGAAAAAAACGACAGAAAGAGCGAAGAAGGAGAACAGGAGAGCAGGAGGGGAGGAAAGATGGAGAAGAGAGGGAGAAGACGGGACAAAAAGGGAGGGACGATCAGCGGTTCTCGGCGACGGCAGGCATTAGCATTCTATACATATGAGTACATAGTAATATTAGCAGTAGTAGACTATTATAAGGATATTAGGGTAGAAATTTCATAGAATTAAGATATGTTATGAATTGGTATCCTAGCATTGGTACAGAGTACAGCCTCGACTCCGAGACAAGCCCTGACCATCATTACGGTAGATCATGCAGCGCTTGGTATACATGGAAAAAACAATGAAACAAAGAAAATACATAGCAGAAGATCTCCTGCATATATTGAAACAAAATAAGAATCCCTCATAACGCCTGGTTCCGGTCGATCCATGGACTATCAATGCTGCCGTTCGTTTAATCTGCATACTTCGTATCTTTACGCCTTTCCAGCCGGTGGAGGACCCGGTGGGGGCGAATAGGCCGGCTGTCCAGGTCCGGGCTGCTGGTATACATTCGGTGGTGGCTGCAGTTCAATCCCATTCGGTTGCCCGCCAAAGTACCCGTATGTTTGCGGATTCGGCGGCGAATACTGCGGAGGCGGTTGCGACGGATAATACACATCCCCATAATAAGGCTGATTGGGAGGAGGAGGACCAGGCGGCGGAGCCATCCAGCTGGTGCCAACATGCGGCGGGAGACCACGCCGGCGACGGCGACGGGCGTTGACGCATCTTGATCCAGGTTAGCGTGAAGATTAATGCCAAGAGATGGACAGGGGTGTACATACGCCAGAAGAAAGAAAATGATCAAAGCTACAGCAACAATGACAGCAAAAGCAACCCAACGACCCCAGTCATACCAGGTATTCCTATCGCCGCAGCGTAAGCTGCCGGTCCAACCATCCCCGTAACTGAAGTCGAATTAGTTGTTGACTTTTCCAGCAACAGAGAAGAAAGACTTACCAATCTCGCCGCGGTAAAACAACCCCCATATTGACTGGCAAGAAGAAGAAGTCAAGATGCTCTTCGCCGAGGTGTTTTTGGCTGCCGAAGAGGCCGGGCGGATGACGTCGATCAACGCAGTAGAAGTAGAGTTGCTGACTGTAACCGATCTGATAATAACCGATCAACACAGTTCTTTCAAGATGATGTATAGAGAGACGCAGAGTTAGAAAAGATGATATTGTAGTAAGAATAAGAAAAGAAAGAGTCGTAGAAAGGTCCCAAGGGAGAAAGATTCTGTCACGTGAATTATCGTGGCGCAAAAACTTGGCGTCCGTTTTTGGCAAGGGCGTAGGCATCCACGTTTTCGCTACGGCCAATATATATGCACTTTTCTATAGTACTACTAGCCATCTAAAGGGGGCCGGAATAATGCCTTGTAGGGCTGCTCCCCGGTGGACCCCGGAGATCAGGCTATTTGAGGTCTAACCTAGCCAAGTTGCACCGCCAAAGATCGTTGCGACATTCTGAGACAGGAGTGTGCTATACACAAACCCAGTCATCTTCTACATGAACTCTCATGACCAGCCACACCTCCAGAGCTCCCTAGCTTTTTCTCTAGCGTGAACCCTCCGGCAAAGCACACGGCGGCGAGGCATACAACTATGTGATAGTCGTCTTGAGGTTCTTAGCCAAGAAACAGCTTCGGGTCTTTTCGAGAAATCGCTGCATCCGGACTCTGAGTTGTTCGCGCAGGTGTTACCCTGAATCTCCATTGCTGTATACATAGTCTCTTGCAACTGCCCTGGTTTAATGATGTGATATCCTCCGGCCATATAATTGGTTGTGATCGCCAGCCATGTGATATTTGCTCATACTGCTTGATATATCACAGGTGAGGGGCACTCCTTACTGTACAGAGTACCTGAGTATGCATGTACTTGCCTAATCTTAGAGAGCACCAGCAATTTCATGGAACAAAGACGACAGGTGTTCCTCTATGGGGAGAAAGAACAGTCTCCAGATTCATTGTTCTAATTGGCAAGTGTCCGGTTGGTTATGTTCGAAAAGACTGGGTAGCTCTTTGAGCCCTCTTTGGCCCTTTGTCTCAGATATTGTGAGGGTCAGCAACAGCAAGATGATGGTGAGTATGGCTTTATTCCTCGGGCCTATATTTGAATATCTTTGTTTCTGAGTACTGGTACATTCCAAACTGAAAGACAGCTTCATGAAAAGTTCGGCCAAAGTACAATCATGCTGCTATATATAGACAATGTACGAGTCTTCTCACTGAATTGAAAACAGAATGAGTGAATGAATGCCCAAGTTCTCTTTGTATCATGGCTAAACAAAGCCGGCTATTCACTTTAAATAACACATCCACGCTTCTGTCTTTCCCTCGGTCTTGCTTCCAACAACATCCACTTCTCATACTCGATACCAACAAGGTCAAACCCGACAGCTATTCAGAATTTCCAGGCACCAGCAAAATGGGAACCAGCAAACAGCCAGCAGTCTCGTAAGTCACTTCAGCCAATGTCCATTATACAATACTGACAAATCACCCTACAGACCATACCGGGATGAGCCAGCAATCCTACAATTCGGTGAGCGAGGACAGACCTACACGGTTCCCAAACCTCTTGTCCAGAAGTACCCGAAACTAGCAGCTCTCCTAAAACCCCAAGACCGCAACAGCATTTCGACTATCTGTTGCTACGATATTAACGAAGACATTGCCCATACTATAGTTCATTATCTCTACACCGGCGAATACCAAACGCTTCGAGTCTTGGAAGGAAAGGGCTCGAGGGAGGGCGAGTACAAGCGGAGTGTATTTGCTTACTGCGCGGCAGTCAGGTTTGACATGCATGACCTGGCGTCTAAGGCAATGAGGTACATCAAGCTCTCTGAGAACGCGGCTGATATCTTCCAAGTTCTGTCGATAGCCAGTGACGTGTATTGCGGACTACCAGAAGGAAAATCGGAGTATTCCGAGTATCTGGGAATCAAAATCGCCGCTGCCTTTAAGCGAGACGAGGAAATCTTCCTGAAGGATGAGTTCTTGCAGTGTATCGGAAAGTCGCTTGCCTTTACCAAATTCCTGACGCAGACCATAGTATCGTTATACTCCAGCAAGCTTTCGAAGCACAAGGAGATGAACAAGGAGAACGAACCTGTCGCTGAGAAACGCCCCGTGGAACCTACTCCTAAGCTACGTTGCTTGCGACAGCGTTCAGCGACCACAGAGAAGGGATCATCTTCAGTCCTTGATACACCAGTGCCTGTTCCTGAAGCCAAGTCCGAAGACAAGCCCGAGCCCGTGGAGCGACCGCAAAAGAAGAGACAGAGGCCTAGCTGGTGGCCAACTGCTGAGGATGGGGGTTTTTAATGAAGTTTTGCTGCCGCCATTCCGTATTACATCTATACTTTTTTTTTTTTTTTTTTTTTTTTTTTTTTCTTTTTGCGTTCTCTTTTTTGCTTTTTTTCAGTTTCAGCCAGACGCATTGGATATTCTATCCTTGACACTATACATTTGCTAGTTATTGAAAACAAATACTTCCTTCGTACTGTGAATAGATACTGTCCTCTGTACCATATGACAGCTTGATCATTCACTTCGTCAATATTCATCTCTCTCTCTCTCTTCCTCTCCTTACATCCTCAGCAACTTACCCTAACCCACACCCAACCTATCTCAACCCCAGCAACAATAGGAGACCTCAAGAAAACCCGCGAAGCCATGCGACGCCAATCCCGCCAGCGCGCAAGAGCCAAGAAGACTCCCAACATCGACGAACCACCAAGACTCTCGTAAGCATCACCTCGCCTCATCACCTCATACCAAATTCACACTAACCCACCAGCCCCTACACCACCACAACCATAACCTCCTCCTCGGCGAACCCCAACAAAGCTACACCGTCCCCCAAGAACTCAGCGAATGCGAATATGAACTCGCATCCCGCATGACACCCATCTACTCCAGCACCGCCCAATGCATCATCCTATAAGACATACACGAAAACACCGGCCACATACTCGTCCACTACCTCTGCACAGGCGAGTACGAAGCGCATTTCAAGCGCTCAGATGGACCCGAGCAGTACAGGCGCAGTATACTCGCCTACGTTGCAGCCCGGAACCTTAGTCTCGGCGAGTTGGAATCGCTTGCTGTCGCGCACATGGAGCGGTATGAGGATGACGTTGATATCTTCCAGGTACTGACTGTGGCGCTGGAGGTGTGGCCGATGGTTTTGGCTGATGATGATGATGTTTATGCGGACCACCTTGCAGACAAGGTTACTGCTGCGTTGGAGGGGGGATCTGGATCTTTATGATAGGGATTAGTTTGTGCACTTTGGGCAGTTGTTGGAGTTTGATCATTTTTTGCTGCGGTGTGGGTTGAGGGTTTATGCTAGGAGGCTCTCGGAGTGTACTTGTGAGGAGGCGGTTAAGTTGGAGGATCATATGAGGTTAAGGTGGGAGGAGACTGATACTACTGAGTATAAGACTCCTGAGGATGAAGATAGTGCGTTTGAAGAGCATGATGAGAAGCGACAATGCCGGGAGTGACAGGTTTTAAGCACAGATATTCGCGTGGTTCGAGGGCAGCTACGGTGCCTGTTCGTCAGTGGAGGGAGGACTCGGATATTTTTGGAAATTTGGATACTACGGTTATTGGGTTGGGATTCTTTTGGTCTTTTGGTTTTTTGGTTAGCACAGCCCCGTTGTCTCACTTATTGACTGTTTCCCTTGATTTTCGTGTTGTGTTAAGTTTTCTGTTGCATTTGGACGTCTACTTTCAACGTTGTACTCATTGAACCCTATACCCGGTCTCTATATATACTCCAACAACACAGCACTAAACCATTTCCGGTAACCACTGTACTCCAAATATACAAGCAAAACTACCCCTCTACTCTACCAAATAAAAATAAAAAATAAAAATAAAAACCACCGGTAAATGTCAACTACCATTAAACCTAGAAAAACACCATCCAATCCCATTCCCCCCTCCCACTCAGCCCTGATGCACAACAGCTGCTTGTTGGCGGGGTTGGCGCCGGCCGGACATCTGCAATGCCAACGCATCGTTGGTCTGTGTGTAGTAACCTGCCATTTCATACTGATCTATATAATCTATGCATGTACCTTCCTTCCGTCTTTTTGCATTTTCGTATCTTGATTTCTGCAACTTATTTTATGTTGTCTGAACGAAGATTCATTTTAAAGTATGGTTATCAAAACTGGCCGTATGAATACAAGACGGTTGGGCATCACTTCATTATCATTATCATTATGACCTTCGCCAGCCAAATAACAAAATCAAAATCAAAACCAACTGCAATGACACTCCTGGACTGGATAACGGAAACAGAAAATAATCGCTTGCGGTGGTATGTACCGGGCTGATACCGCATCATCGACATCATTAGCACTTCCTGGCAGCGAGCCAACAGAATCTACAGAGGAAAACGACAGGATACCGAGAGAGAGGAGAGAAAGAGAAGCAGAAAGGGAGAGCGAAAGGGTATTCATCGACTAGCCCGCGCAATCAACCAGTGCAGAACTGCATCCAGATTCGTCTCCTCTTTGGCGCTGATGCCGTAGCAGCTCACTTCGCGATGCGTGATCGATTTCAGATCCATCGCTTCGATCAGCTCGTCGACGGAGAGTTTATCTGGGAGATCTGACTTGTTTCCCAGGACTAACAGCGGGATGCCGTCCAACGCGGGCTTCTTCATCAGCTCGTGCAGTTCCTCCGTCGCAACCGGTAGCGCGGGGCGATCAGCGGCGTCCACGATATATCTGGCCCAGGTCGTCAGTATCTCTCAGCCAGGAGACGAAAGCACAAGCGCAAGCTTACACTATCGCATTGACGCCCCGGCAATATCGCTCCCACATCGGCCGGAAGCGTGGTTGTCCACCTAAATCCCAGCTGCACGAGATCAGCTGTCCTGTTCGATTCTCCAAGCAAATTGACGATACTGACCATTTCAAAGTCACATGCCCCTTTTGTACCCGTTTCGTGTTGAACCCGATCGTCGGAATGGAACTGCGGATGGCGTTTAGCGGGCGTCTCGTGCTGGTCCCTGCACAGGATTTCAAAAATCCCTACGAGAAAACATGCGACTTACTCTACAGTGAATTCGGCACCCTGGAACGAGACGCATACATCTCTCATCAGCCATTCGAGTCATTTCCGAGAGTGAGAAGAAAATCATACCGCAAGCACACGCAATAACGAGGATTTCCCTGCATTCTGGAGACCAATCATGGTGACATCCATCTCCGTCGCCCTGCATTTACCGTTATGGTGTGTTATTAGCCCCGGCGCCTTTACTTGCAACAGAAACAATCGTGAACAAAACGGTTTGCGGGGAACGGCCCGAGAAGGCTATTTATTCGCGGGCGCAAACCACCACATAACTGAACGCCGGTGGGAACAAATGGCCCACTTACCAGAACATCCTCAAAAGCCAGTCATAAATCGTCCGAAAGATTCCTGCCATGATGAGGGATATGTGTGTACTGTCGGTTTGCCGGTCCGTCGGTGTGTCGCTTGTTTCGTTCGTCGTCGCAGAGCGCGCGCGCAATGATAAAGCGGAGAATGTCGCAGTAGGATGAGAAGGAGGCGCAGAATGGCGTACAGGCGGCTAGCAGCTGAAACTTGCCCCGGATCAGTTCAGTTCAGTTCAGAATCTAACGAGAATGGTTCTGTTCGAATGCGCTTTGGGTTGGATAAGCAGGAGGAATTTTGTAACCAGCAGGTGGGGTTAGTGGGATGCTGAAGGCGAATGTTTGTCAAAAAGGGGCTCTGAGGATTGTGAACACTACCACGGTCAAACAATCTGAACAGCAGCAACAAAAGATATAAACCTGGGATAGAAATCGAGCAAGTTGGAGTGACTAGAAGGAGACGAGAGCGCGCGCAAGTGAAGAAGCGCCGATGAAACCAGCGGAGGAGCTCAAGAGACCAAAGCGCAAAGTCAAGTCGGAGCAGTCGAACGATCGTCTAGCAGGAGAAATTGACAATATAAACAGCGCTGATAGTAATTAACGCGATGGAGAATGAGGCCTCTTCGTCCTGGTGGTCACTGCCAGAGTGATAAGCACGGTGTAGAGTTCCCCTGGATGGGTAGAGAGCGGTCTGCTAAGGCAGTTGAGTGTCGCAAACTGTAGGCGTATCAAATTGAAAAAGGAATGATATTAGCGTATCTTTGCGCTTGTCTGCGAAATGTTGATTGTCATCGCAAGAGCCGAGTCGCTGCGATGAGATCAGAAGCACGAGAATTTCCGCCTTAGGCACAAAGGCATCATGCTACTTTACTGCCTGAGGCCCCAGTACTATCACCACGTGATGATAAGATCGAAAAATTTCCCCGACCAAAAAAACGACTCTTTTCTTCCTCTTCAGACCACCCCCCGGCACGATTCACCATGGCTCCCGCACCGACAAACACCGAGTGGTCGGTCAATTACGACGTGCTCCGCCGGGAGCAACTTTTCAGACACCCACCAAAGGACCACACGGCCTATCCTGCCTTGGCCGCTGCAATCCGACCTCATATCGATTCGTTCAATGCGCTCTTTGACGACACCAAGGTGCTTGAGCATGGGTTGAAGGATATCGGCACCAAGACCTTCCTTGATGGGGATGTCGAAACTGCCGAGCAGAGGAAGGCGAGGCAAGCAGAGGGACGAAAAGCGCCTAAGAGGAATCGGCTTAATGTGCGCATCCGCGAAGTTTTCCTCGAGAAGCCGGCGCTGCCTCCTACCAACAAGTTCACTACGCGCAACCGGAATATTTACCCGTCGGAGACTCGTGAAAGACATGCTACGTACCGTGGAAAGCTGCGCGCAAAGCTTGAGTACCAGATCAACAATGGAGACTGGATGGAGTCGGTTAGAGAGTTGGGTCAGGTTCCGATTATGTTGAGGGTGAGCACAACAGAGCCTCAGAATTGCGATTCGACATGACAATAGCGACTAACTATTGCAAAGACCAACAGATGTCATTTGGAAAAGGCAACCCCCGAACAGCTCGTCCAGCACAAGGAAGAATCGGAAGAACTGGGTGGTTACTTCATCGTCAACGGCAACGAAAAGCTCATTCGGATGTTGGTCGTCGGAAAGCGGAACTACCCCATGTCGATTATCCGTGGTTCATTTGTCAAGCGTGGAAGCTCGTACACCAAGTACGGTGTGCAAATTCGATCTGTCCGGCCGGACCAGACATCGCAGACCAACGTGCTTCACTACCTCAGTGACGGCAACGTGACCTTCCGTTTCTCGTGGCGCAAGAACGAATATCTTATCCCGGTGATGATGATCCTCAAGGCCTTGGTTGAGACCAACGATCGCGAAATCTTCGAGGGCATTGTCGGTGGCGCTTCGTCCAAGGGTGTCAGCAACACTTTCATTACTGACCGTGTGGAACTTTTGCTGCGGACATACAAGGGTTACAGCATCCATGGCCGCTCGTCCTGCCGCGCCTACCTCGGAGAGAAGTTCAAGCCTGTCCTTGGTGTCCCCGCGGACATGTCAAACGAAGACGCCGGTGCCGAGTTCCTGCGCAAGGTTGTCTTGCCGCATCTGGGCAACCAGGATGTCACCGAGACCCAGGACTACGACAAGTTCAAGATGCTCATGTTCATGATCCGGAAGCTTTACGCCCTTGTCGCTGGAGACTGTGCCCCCGATAACCCGGATGCTGTTTCGAACCAGGAAATCCTGCTCGGTGGCTTCTTGTACGGTATGATCTTGAAGGAACGACTGGAGGAATGGGTGAGGTCTCTTGGACCGATCGCGCGGGACTATTGTAATCGGAACAGCGGCGCCAAATTTACAGACCCCGAGTTCGAAAGAGACTTTCTACCCAGAATCGTGAAGAGAACCAACGAAAACATCGGAGGTGCCCTCGAATACTTCCTCTCGACAGGTAACCTGGTCAGTCCTACTGGTCTCGACTTGCAACAGGCCTCCGGTTATACTGTCATGGCCGAAAAGATCAACTTCTACCGATTCATCAGTCACTTCCGCATGATTCACCGTGGTAGTTTCTTCGCGCAACTCAAGACAACCACCGTCCGGAAACTGCTCCCTGAGAGTTGGGGTTTCTTCTGCCCCGTCCACACACCCGATGGTGCTCCTTGCGGTCTGCTCAACCACTTGGCACACAAGTGCTTGATCGCCACCAGTAACGTGAACGTCTCGCATATTCCCCGGTTACTGGTGCAGCTGGGCGTGCGTTCGGAATCTTCAGCCGCCATCGACGAGAGCGTGACGGTGCAATTGGATGGCCGGATCATCGGCTACTGCTCCCCCAAGCAAGCCCGCGTGGTCCACGACACCCTCCGTCACTGGAAGGTAACAGGCATGCACAAGGTGCCCCGCGAGCTCGAAATCGGCTACGTCCCCAACATGAACGGCGGCCAGTACCCGGGCATCTACATGTTCTCGCAAGCCGCTAGAATGTACCGTCCCGTGAGGCACCTGGGCTCCGACAACCTCGACTACGTGGGCCCCTTCGAGCAACCCTTCATGGAGATTGCATGCATGCCCTCCGACCTCATCCCAGGCGTCTCCTCGCATATCGAATTCACCCCCACAAACATTCTCTCCATCGTCGCCAACATGACCCCCTTCTCCGACTACAACCAGTCTCCGCGTAACATGTACCAGTGCCAGATGAGCAAGCAGACCATGGGTACACCGGGTACGGCCATCGACTACCGCACAGACAACAAGCTCTACCGTCTGCAGACGGGTCAAACGCCCATCGTCCGCCCACCCCTCTACAACGCCTACGGTCTCGACAACTTCCCCAACGGCACCAACGCCGTCGTCGCCATTCTCTCGTACACGGGTTACGACATGGACGACGCCATGATCATCAACAAATCCTCGCACGAGCGCGGCTTCGGTCACGGAACTATCTACAAGACCAAGATCCACAACCTCGACGAGAAGGACTCGCGACGCAGCAAGTCCAAGCGCGAAGTCACCAAGCTCTTCGGTTTCGCACCGGGTGGTGAAATCCGCGCTGAATGGCGCGCAACCCTCGACGAAGACGGTCTCCCGCACATTGGTACCCGCGTGCGTGAGGGGTCCCTCATCGCCGCATGGCACACTGTGCGCTACGACGCTGCGTCCGACTCGTACGTCAACGTCGACGGCCTCACGCATTTCATGAAGTACAAGGATGCGGAAGAGGGATACATCGATAGTATCCGGATCATGGGTGCGGAGACGGGTGCGGAGCCGTGCCAAGCGCTGAGCGTCAAGTACCGTGTCCCGCGTAAGCCGGTTATCGGTGACAAATTCTCGTCTCGTCACGGACAGAAGGGTGTTTGCTCACAGCTGTGGCCTGCTGTCGACATGCCGTTCTCTGAGAGCGGTATCCAGCCTGATCTCATTATTAACCCTCACGCCTTTCCTTCTCGTAAGTCCCCTCCCCTACTTACCACTGTAAAAGAAAACCCCCTCTGACAAGGCGCTGCAGGTATGACAATCGCCCAAATGATCGAATCCATGGCCGGCAAAGCCGGCGCCCTCCACGGCCACCCACAAGACAGCACGCCCTTCCAATTCAGCGAATCCAACACAGCCACCGACTTCTTCGGCCACCAACTGCGCAAAGCCGGCTACAACTACCACGGCAACGAGCCACTCTACTCCGGCATCACAGGCAAAGAGTTTGCCGCCGACATCTTCATCGGCGTCGTGCACTACCAGCGTCTACGTCACATGGTTAACGATAAATTCCAGGTCCGCACGACAGGTCCTGTGAACTCGTTGACGGGACAGCCTGTTAAGGGGAGAGCGAAGGGTGGTGGTATTCGTGTTGGTGAGATGGAGAGGGATTCGTTGATTGCGCACGGTGCGGCGTTTATTTTGCAGGATCGGTTGATGAATTGTTCGGATTCGACGAGAGCGTGGATTTGTAGGTGTTGTGGGAGTTTCTTGTCGACGCAGGTTGCTGTGCCGTCGGTTGGGGGGAGTAAGGCGAGGATTGCGGCGGCGAAGGCGCAGTCTTCTACGGCTGCGGCTAATAATGCGGCGAATGCTGCTGCTACGTCGGCGCTTGGGGGCGCTGCTGGGATTGTGCGTTGTCGTCGGTGTGCGAGGGAGGCGGTGTTTGAGGACTCCCGGGCTGAGGTTTGGGAGGATGGTGATGGGAGACGGTATGTCGGCGGTGACAATGTTACTGTTGTTGCTGTGCCGGGTGTGTTGCGGTACCTGGATGTTGAGTTGGCTGCTATGGGTATCCGCATGAAGTTCAAGATTGACAACTGATGTTGTGAAAAAAGCATGTTTATAGATCTGGTTGTATGTAATTATGTTTTGGAGTTGTTATTTAGCATCGTGTTTAGTCTTGAATTCGTTCTTATTCATCTATCATTCATGAATAGAAACTTGAAGTAACTAAAAAACATCATGTCCATGATTAAATTAAAAGATCATCCAGGCTAACCTACAACTCCGACGTGACATTCGAGAACTCGCCCTTCTCCAACTTCGTCTTCCAGAAGATAGGGTTCATATCGTCGAATCCGTGGTGGACCCAGCCCTCTTCCTTGACATGGTACAAGTTAATGTAACCACCAGAGAAGGCATCACGGTGCGTCGCGGCAAGGATACTTCTCCGTCCAAGCTCGAGAGCTTCCTCCTCGGTCAATTCGTAACGGTATTCGGCGTCGAGCACACCGTAAGCGAAGGTCTGACCGGATCCGACACAGAACAGGTTACCGGGGAGTCGTGTGCCATCGGAGTCGATGTAGTAGAGAGCGGGTCCTTCTTGGGGGGTCATCTGCAGGAGTCAGCCAGAACCTCAAAACAGAACAAAGGGGACGTACACCCGCCAACATGGTTCCCATGCTCAGACCATATCCCTTGTAGGCGTATGTCAAATTGGCCAGAATCTTCGAAGCAGCCGCAACTGTGATACGGCGCTTGTGTCTGATTTCTATTCCCAGTTAGCCCCCGCACCAACCCAAACTAACGCCATACTTACCATGAAGTGTGCACTGCTGACTCAAATATCTCAACCAGTATTGACAATCCTACACTCATCAGCACCATCCCACTGGAAAATATTCACCAAAAGAACATACAGCAGCACCGCCAGCCATCGTACCCAACAAACCAGGCGTGGGCTTATCCGTCGGCTTGTCCTCACCACGGCTCAACCGCGAAACGGGAATAACCTTCTTCACCGTCTGACTGGCGATCCAGTCACCAGCGGACGCTCTTGAATCGGTTGCGACGATCTACCATGGCCTCATTAGCGAAGCCAACTGGGAGTTATCTGGGTGGGAACGTACAATTCCGCCTTGGAATCGGAAAGCCAGCGTCGTCGTTCCGTGAGCGAGCTTAATCGGACAGTGGGGGTTCGAGTGGTCATCGGTCATCGCACGGAGGAAGCCGGAGGGCTGTAATAGATTCAAACATGCTCGTTAGCTATCATTCCAGTAACTCTCCTCTGCAGTAGGCGCCCGCCGTCCAGATCAAAGACCAAGTGGCACAACCACCATCCACAACAAAACAACTCCCAATAGCAACCATTACACCAGTAGTCACAAACTCACGTTATCGAGAGGAGGAAGCTTGAAGTTCAGAGAGATCGGGGGAAGAGTCTCTGTGAGTTCCTGCTGCTCTTGCTCCGAATAGAACTCATTCTGCGGCGACCGCGTGTACTGCGAGACGATCTTATCCATGGTGTGCTCTGCGAAGAAAGAATTCAATATCAAAGAGAAGTAGGAAAAGACGCAGGAAGAAGACGTTGATGGGGGAGGGCGATGGTCGAGTGAAGCTCTGATATGGAGCTGTGGTGACGATGAGCTCACCTCTTGGCGTCACGTGTCTTCCACCGGAATCTACATATTGGAACTCCATGAAATATCAGTCCATTAAAATCATAACACTATTACTATATTATTGGGAATTATTATTATCGTTGCCAATTCCAACACGCCTATTTCCCCAGCGCCGGCCTTCCATTCCTGCCCAACAATGTAACTACAAAACTGACAGAACAGAACTCCGAATGAAACAAACAAAATCAGTCAATCATAATCCATCCGAGTCTCATCGCGAGTTATCGGTTAATACGGAACAGCCACTGGCTGCTGAGTGTCAATGGCGCCAGAAGCGTGCGGAATATTCGGCTTCTCAAGACCATTGACAGCCTTGACTGACTCCGCGTCATCAGAACCGTCAGCGACGCCGTTAGCACTTTCAGTTCTGCCGGGGTTTGTAGGCAGGAGGTTGGTCGAGGTCTCGCCGGCCGAAGTGTGAACTGGTTCGTCCGTTCTCTCCCACGTACGCAGGTTGTTTTCGGCTTCCTCGAGGACGTGCTTGGTGTCTTCGGTGTGTTCGTACGCAGCGCGCTGGTCACCGGGGACAACGGGGCTATCGTCGAGGTAGTTGAGCAGACGCTTAGCATGGCGAGCCAGGAGGATCTGCTTCTCTCCTTTCTCGATGACGGCGGCCAGGTGGATGTCGTACGCTTCTTTCATTTTTTGCCGGGTCTACCACATTAACTTCCTTTCCCACATTCGATAGAGAGCAACGGAACATACCACATTGGTCAACTGCGCCTCCGCAACCAAATTATGCGCCTCAGCCCTAACCAACTCCTGTTCCAGCGTCTCCAACTTCGCACTCGTTGGATCTCTCAACTTCAACCGCTGAATCTCATCCGCCACCTTAGCCCGACCCTCCCTCGTCGGCTGCACACTCGCCTCAATATTCCTAATCTGCTTCAACAACGCCCGATAATCCTCCATATTCTGCGCATACACATCTTCCTGCTCGCCCAGCTCCGCCAGCAACACACCCAGCTTATCCGAGATGTCCGAGACGGCGTTGTCCTCGGTCGACTCGCCCCATTCGGAGAGCTGGGAGGCGACGGAGATGCGCTCGCGGCCGGCGGCTTCATAGGCGCCGATGACGTCGCCTTCAGTTTTGATGAGGCGGCCCATTTTACGGCTCATTTCGGGTTGTTGGAGGCCTTGAAAGGCGCCCATGCCGAATTTGAGGCGGCCGCCGCCGGGGTCGCGTTTTGTGCGGATGGAGAGGGAGGAGCGGTGCCTGACTCGTTAGTTTCGTGGTCTGGTGGCTGTAGAAGAGCACGTACATTTTGCGTGGTATGGTATATCAAGAGGATTCGATTGATTCGATGTAAGACTGGGTCATAAACTCGAGCTGACAATGGTCAACCCCTCAATGCAACTTCCTAACAACGTAACGGCTAACGGTATCAGTATTCACCCCTGTCAATCTTTAAACAAGGTACTTAAAAGAGAGGGAAAAGTGAAGATAAAGTCAGAGGAAAGAGCCAAGTTATGGAAGGAAGGGAAAGAGGCGCTTGATGCTTGCGCTTCATGACGTCATGCGGGAGAGGCGGAAGCTGAAGTCATTACGAGGATTTGTATGGTTCTTTGCCATTTTTATGCTTCTCGAGAATGTCATTCTTGGCATGAATTATATATATAATGTGGATGGTGATGTAGAGATCTATGGATGTACAACCCTATCTATGAGACATACAGGGTATGGATCAACATCTCGCGGGAATATAAATTACTTCCTCGCTCTCCCTTCTCAATGGTAATTGCGGGTAACGGATAGGGATCAATCTCTCCTCTTCGGTCCTGACTCTCGTTCTGGTCACGGTTGTATAAGACGACGAAGAGGATGGCCGCGGTGGTGGTCGTGAGTAGGAATATGAAGATGAAGGCCGGGAATAGATAACCACCCGAGTCCTACTGCCCTTGTCAGAGTCGGAGTCAGAACTGCTGGAGCTACTGCTGCTGCTACTGCTGCTTGATCGATGATGACCGCTGCGGTGGTGATGACCGCTGTGGTGATGATGATAGCGGTGCTGGTGATGCTGGTGATGATGATGCTGGTGAGTATGGCAACGACACCGGCACCGATGAACTGGGGGAGGACACGAGGCGCGAAGAGGTCGAGGAGGGGATTCCACGATCCGCGATGAGGGGAGGTCGTTGTCGACTTCGAGGAAGCACATCTTCATTGTATTGGATTGACTTGTAGAAGATAGGGCGTTGTTGGTAGGGCTGGAGAACATGAGGACTGGATATGAAGCATCTTGATGGCACTCAAATATGCATTTATACAGGAGTATACGAATGAAGGATCAGGCATCTCTCAGATGAGAATATCAGGGCCGATGGTCATTCTTCGGGGATGGCCTTGTGACAGCGGGTCATGTGCCTCTACACACCATCACCAGTTCTACACGGTCGATGCATGCAGACAAAGTGGTCAGCCTATTCAAATTACTACAGTAAATCCATCCTCTTTTTGTCCCGGGCGACATGAATTCAAACCAAATGTAAAACTACCTGCGCCCCGACATGACATACCAACACCTAGTTATAAACATTCATTAAATTAAAGCAGCAAAAGTACATCACGACATATCATCCGCATCGTGATGGTGGTGAGTAGTCTCGTGATCCGACGCGTGGAATGCGTCCCCAAACGCCGACGTCTCCAGATCCGGAAGATCCAACCCCTCGTTCTGCTCCGTATACGCAGCCAAGGCGTCGCCTGCGCTGTCCATGTTGGTGAAGTCGAAGTTGCTCGTGTCAAGTCCTGTATCACCGGCGTGCCCTGTTTGTCCGGGGATCAAGCCTTGACCTGTGCCGGCCGTCGCGGCTCCCTGATTTTGCTTCGCTTCGTTATTGATCATCACCCAGTCACCGGTTTCACCTGTGGCTGTATTCACCGGCCGACCATCGCCCATGTTCATCTCGACGTCCTGACCTGGTTGTGGCTGTGGCTGCTGGTTGTTAGGAGAGCCGAATTGGTCGAGCAGGTGGCTGTCGGCATGCTCCATGACGATATCGCCCATTGCAGTGTCCGGTTTGGGTTCCGGTTCGATCTTCTCGAGCAATCCACCTTTTTGCACACACGAAATTTTAGGTTCCGGCGTGATCTGCTTCTGGTATGAACCTTCCACCTCCCGGATGATATCATCGACCTTGTATTTGGGCTTCTCCTGTATGACCGGCTCCACCGGTGTACCGTCCTCTTCGGTAGGAATCTCGATCCGGCCCTCCAATCGCCAATTCTCCGACCCGGTGTCAGTCGGATCGGTCGCTGCCTCTCGCAGCCGAAGCTCCGCATCCTTGAACAGAGATGTACGGTTGAAGCGTTCCATACGCTTCGCATGGCGCTTCTTCAGTTTCTCAATCTCAGCAGTCATGTCTGCCACTTTCTTGGCCACGCGATCCGCGAACTCCTCCGCCTTGGCGGGTTCCATCTTGGCCGCGGCGGAATCCGGCGCGTCCTTGGATTCCTTATTTTCCCCATTGGCACTGGACCCCACAGGAGCATCGAAGAAGCCCGCTGTCAGCGATTCCAGCTCGCCCTTCCGACCCAATCCCAGCGACACGGGGGTAATCTGGTTGATCGCATAGGGCGAAGCAAAGATCTCTTCCATCCATTCATGGTGTTGTTGATACCGCATCTTGCTGACTTCGCGGGGGGTCAACAAGTCCATCATATCTCCCGCGGAGACATCCTCATCTTCGAGCGCAAAGTCCGCTGTCGCGGAGTTCATAGCGACCGACGGAGCCCGATGGCCGCGAGGCGCCTTGACCGGAGCGGCTCCGGCCGGACCAGCAAGGACCTGTCCCGGCTGGGCGTAGAACGGCGGACGGCCCGGGACGGCAGCGGCATAGGGTCCCGCGGGATGCGCAAAGCTCTGTGGAGCCATCTGCGGCGGGAGGTTGATGCTTGGCCAGTTGTTGCGATCATGCAGCATGAAATCTTTGCGGGCCAACTGCCCCTGGCTCTGAAGGAATCGTCGCTGGGCCAGCATGCTCTGGACTTGGGGTGCGATCGGGATGCGGTTCGCGTGGATATGATCCGTCGGAGGGGCTCTCGAATAGTGGACGATCCAGAGGGACGGGTCCGCGGGAGGCAGGTTCGGGTTGGGCACTTTAGAGGGTAACAATCGGTAGCGTCTGCGACAGTGAATCGCAGCGGGTTCGTTGGGAGGGTGGTAGCCGCTGCGGTGCAGCCACATTTCGACAGTCTAGCAGCAGTCCTCCGTTAGCATGGTGAGCAACAGTAGCAACATGGCTAGTAAGCATACATAACCGCGAGCTTCAAAGCTGAAGGCCTGCTCGACATCAGCCCAGACATAACCGTCGCTGGCCAAGTTGGTTCCAAGGAAGTTCAGCGGCTGCCAAGTGAGCATCACAGTGCCGTCCTGAGGTCCGTCGAGAAAAGTCCAGTGCATCGGCTGCACTTCGCGGACGACTTTGGGCGCGGTGAGTAGGTATTCGACCACGGTGTCTGTGGGCAACATGTGCATCAGGGGATAGCGATACCGCGACACCAGATGCATATGCGGCAGCTATAGAAAAGCAGTTAGCCTTCATTCACAGTCCAGGGACGTACAGCGCTCACTTACCAACTGCGCCGGGACACGACTCGCTGGATCGTCCATGGTGAACCAGACCCTCCGTCACTGGGGATAAGATTAGATGGGAATGATCGCAAAAAAATTAAGAGGGAGAAGACCAGAGGAACAGGTGCAATTGAATGTTTGGAGAATAGCGACAGTAACGACTAATGAATGTATGGCCCTCTGTCTCTGGCTGAGAGGAACGCGACGCGGATTTTTGGTGTTCCAGCGCCGAGTCGGGCGGGCGAGTGAGACCAGTTATGTAGCACGTGATCAGAGAACATCAGGCATTAAGGCATAAACTGAGGTGCAATATAATTGACATCCAGCCACGGACAATTGGATATATTACGTATAAATATGCAGGCTTCAATAGATTTGTGTCAAGCCTGTACTACAAATACGGAATATGTTCGGTAAAAGCGAATGGGAACACCCGAAAGTGAGCTCATCGGCGCTCCGGCACTGTTGATCAGTGGTTCTATGGGGAATCGCCCCAGCAATAATGAATTGCATCTTTAGCTGGAGTGTACTCCGTAGGTATTGCACGTTGAACATAGCAATATTAACGTACAGAGTATCATGGGGATCTTACAATGCAGGAACAGAATAAATGCTCGACCAGCCTTATGCTGTGGAATTGATCCCTCGCAGGCCAGCCTCCGAGGATTCAATAGTAACTCAGCTCAACTCCGGAAAATAAAACCAGTCCCAGCTGCGAGATGTCGATCAGAGCTAAAATTCCGCATATAAAGCTTGACTGCTCCCCAGAATCTGCAGCTGATCTTCATTTATTCTCAATCGCATTCGCGACTCATACTATTACCTCTGTAATATTTAATCAACATGGGCTTCTTCGGCAAAGAAGATCCCCCTGAAGACATCATCGAACAAGCCCCGACCAACGAGGATACCGAAAAGCAGCTCACATCGCATTATTCCGATGAAAATAACACGGCTTTACCTCCGGCTCCGGTCGTGCACATCGATCCGGCAGTGGAAAAGCGCATGTTGAGAAAACTGGATTGTCGACTTCCGTTACTCTTGGGATGTTTGTGTATGTGGTCAAACCATATGAAGAGAGATTGATGTTGCTGACTCCTTCCAGATCTGTTGGCTTCGCTGGATCGGAGCAATATCGGAAATGCCAAAATCGCAGGTATGGAGGATGACCTCCATCTCTCAAGTGATGACTATTCATGGCTCCTGACTATCTTCTACATCTCCTACACCGTGTTCGAGTTCCTAGGAATCATGTGGAAGCTCGTTCCGCCTCATATATGGGCTGCCGTGGCTGTTTTTGGATGGTAAGCTCCCACCTATAGGGAACGTGAATGATTCAAGTTAACACGAATAGGGGCGTTATGGCCGTCTGTCAAGCAGCGACGCAAAACTGGCAAGGCATGATGGCCTTACGTTTCCTCCTGGGACTCTTCGAAGCGGCCTTTGGCCCCGGAGTTCCCTACCTGATGTCATTCTTCTACCGTCGCAATGAACTGGGACTGCGGTGTGGATTGTATGCATCTGCTGCTCCGTTGGCGAGCACATTTGCTGGTGCACTCGCATATGGAATCACGTCCGGACATCCCCTATTGACTAGTTGGCGGTTGCTTTTCCTTGTCGAGGGTGTTCCTACGCTCATTGGCGCAGTGCTTGCCTGGTTCTACTTACCCGATGGTCCAGCTTCTGCGAATTTCCTGACAGCGGAGGAAAAAGAGGTCGCATGTATCCGAAGCTTGCGCCGCGGAGGTGAAGCGGATCGCGTGGACGGGATCGACTGGAAGGACCTGGGGATGACCTTGCTAGACGCGAAGCCGTGGCTCACTGCTGTACGTCCCTTCTCTACTACCAACTAGACATGCGCTGACCCAAACAGTTCATGTACTTTAGCTGCAACGTTAGCTTCTCCTCGCTCCCCGTCTTCCTCCCCACCATCCTCCAAGACATGGGCTTCACCTCTATCCACGCCCAAGGCCTCACCGCACCGCCCTACTTCCTCGCTTTCCTCGTGACGATTCTCAGCACATGGCTAGCAGACCGCTTCCAGCAGCGGGGCCTCATGATCATATTCCTCTCGATAATCGGCGCAGTCGGTTACGTCCTCCTTGCAACTTGCACCGCCGTCGGAGTCCGCTATCTAGGCGTTTTCCTCGCCGCTGCGGGTGTTTTCCCCTGTATCGGTAACATCCTCCCCTGGGTGCTCAACAACCAAGGCTCCGACAGCCGTCGCGGAATGGGTATCGTCCTCCTCAATATAATCGGACAATGCGGACCATTCCTGGGCACGAATATCTTCCCGTCTAGCGAAGGGCCGCGCTATATCAAGGGACAATGGATCTGCGCGGCATTCATGTTCTTCACGACATTTTTGGCGCTGACTCTGCGGTGTTTGTTAGTTTGGGAGAACTGGAGGTTGGATAAGAAGTATGGGACGAAGGAGGAGAGGGGGAGTGGGGAGAAAGGGGTTATTGCGGAGGAGAATTATGGGGCGGATTTTCGGTTTGTTCTATGATATGAGCATAGGATTTATGGTTAATGACGGATGATACAAAGTATATATGGGTTCGTTTATGTATATTGAGTGGTATGTTTATGGCGTACTATGTAGTAATCTAATGTCTATGATAAGATCCCCGCTTTCGCTTCATATCAACTTTCATATCGCGGGGATCGAGACAAATATACATCCCTACTCTAACACCATTACTACAATGAATATGGCCTCAGACCCCTCTACCCTCCACGCCGTCGTGGACATGGGAAGGTAGTCTACAAAACCCCTATTCCATCCTACAATACTCACTCTACAACAGCAACGGCATCCGCTTCTCAATAACCAACACCAGCACCCCCCAACTTCCAACCCTCTACCACTCCCGCGCCGGAATCTCCCTCTACGACGCCCAATTCTCCTCCGGCAATAATACGCGCCACCCCATTCCCGACAATATAATCCAAGACGTCCTCACCCGCCTCGTCCACTTCCAGACTGTCTGCGAGGACTTCGATGTACCGCCGGAGAGCGTACATGTGCTAGCGACGGAAGCTACGCGCACAGCGACGAATTCTGAGGCATTCAGGACAGAGATCCGGAAAAGGACGGGATGGGAGGTGAGGATGTTGAAGAAGGAGGAGGAAGGGAGGATTGGGGCGATGGGGGTTGTTGCGAGTTGTGGGAGGCCCGTTGGTGGGTTGGTTATGGATTTGGGGGGTGGGAGTACGCAGATTACTTGGATTATGACTGACGGGGATGGGGAGGTTAGGACGAGTCCGCGCGGTTCGTTTAGTTTTCCCTACGGTGCGGCGGCGTTGAAGAATAGGTTGGAGCAGGTTGGAGGGGACGAGAAGGGGAGGGAAAAGTTGAGGGGTGAGATGGTGAGGAATTTCCAGCAGGCGTATCGAGATCTAGAAGTGCCGGAGGAGCTTTTACGGATGGCGAAAGAGCGTGGTAAGCTTGATTTGTATCTTTGTGGTGGTGGGTTTCGCGGTTGGGGGTATTTGCTCATGGAGCAGGCCACTGTGAATCCGTATCCGATTCCCATCATTAATGGGTTCCGGGTTCGCAAGGAGGAGTTTCACGATACAACGTCAGTACTAGGGACTGTTGATGCAGATACTAAGGTATTTGGCGTGTCGAAGAGACGAGCATCGCAGGTCCCGGCTGTGGCTTTCCTGGTCAACGTGCTCGTCGACGCACTACCGGACATCCAGAACATCCAATTCTGCCAAGGAGGAGTGCGTGAGGGCTTTTTGTTTGATCGACTGCCTGCGGAGATCTGTGCTGAGGATCCCCTCCTAGCAGCGACGAGGCCCTATGCGACGCCTTCAGCAGACGCCTTTCAGCGTCGCTTGTCATCAGCCTTGCCATCTACCCCTCCACCAGATGAACTGACGCAAGTGCCCCCCTCGTTTTCCCCTCATCTGCTCTTTGCATTGGCCAATCTACTCTTCGCCCATGCCACCATCCCCAAAGAGTCCCGTTGTGCAACTGCCCTACACAGCACCACCACCGGCCTCCTAGCATCCACCAACAGCCTTACCCATACTGACCGGGCCTTACTTGCCCTCACACTCTGCGAACGCTGGGACGGAGAACTGGCTCCGACCGACCAATCACTCTACATACGACTGAGCCGGTGTGTGTCCGCACGGGAAGTCTGGTGGTGTCGATACTTGGGACGGGTGGCCGCTCTGATTGGCGATGTGCATCCGGCGGGTAAAGTCTCTGGGAATGAGACCCGGTGGAGGATCCAATTTGACTCGCAGTGGGACGAGTTGACCAAAGAGAAGAAGGGCGAGAGGCAGACTGTGCTCCGGTTGCGGGTGAGGTGGAACGGGGACGTCATGCGGGATAGCTCGTACAGTCTGGATGAACACACCGGGAAGATCGAAAAGGTCGGAAAGAGGAAGAATTGGGTGGAGGGGAGCGGCGTGAAGGTTCAGGTGGAGGTTTGAGTGTGCCATAGAAGTCAATTGAGGCATTTTGAAGCCAATTGAAGCGATTCTAATCCAAGAATGAAGCAATCGTGAGTCACGGGACCGGGATCACGACCGGATTCTGTCACTTGCCTGATTTGGAATAGCGGCTGTACATATAACCCCTCTTCTCCCCTCCTTCGTCTCTTTCTCTTCTTCTCATTCTCAAACAAACCATTACTGTCCATACACAATTCTATCACCAACAAGTTCTCCTCTCTTAGTCTATTCCCATGGAACTTACTAACCATATATAGGACCAAATGTATATGGCCCCGTCCAATATGGAAACCATGGTTTCGCTTTGGCTGGGATGATTATCATCAAAATGATCAAGGTATCTCAGGTAACGTCTGGGCATGAGCCGGTGTTCGTTCCCATCTTTGCTGTTCCGGGCTATGTCGTGGATGTACTACAGCATAGCGCGGACAGCAAGGCTGGGTTCGTTCTGAGATTATACGGCTAAAACTTGATCTGGATAATACCAGCGAAAGGAATCATGCTTTCCCTTATTCCCCTGTTTGGTGGAATGGCTAACCGAGTACAGTCACGATCGACTTGATCATTACCAGCAACACCATCCAAAATGACTCCTCCCGCTGCTCTTTTCGACACTGTCGCCCCCACCACCACCATCAAGGGTAAGGTGGTTGCCCCCGAGGTTGCCAAGACCACCTTGACCGGTGGTGAGTCTCAGACCAAGCTCTTGGACCAGTTTGGCGGCAAGTGGGATGAGTTCAAGTTCGCCCCCATCCGTGAGAGCCAGGTCTCGCGGGCTATGACTCGCCGCTACTTCCAGGACCTCGACAAGTACGCTGAGACTGATATTCTCATCGTCGGTGCCGGTTCTTGCGGTCTGAGCACTGCCTATGTTCTTGCCAAGGCTCGTCCGGACTTGAAGATTGCCATTGTTGAGGCTTCGGTCTCTCCTGGTTAGTGTTGTCCTGCCTATTGGGTGTCTTCTTCTGCTAACTCCAACAGGTGGTGGTGCTTGGCTGGGAGGCCAGCTCTTCTCCGCCATGGTCATGCGTCGTCCTGCCAACATTTTCTTGGAGGAGTTGGGCGTGCCCTATGAGACCGACCCTGAGAACCCCAACTACGTCGTCGTCAAGCACGCTTCGTTGTTCACCTCGACCCTGCTGTCCAAGGTTCTGTCCTTCCCCAACGTCAAGCTCTTCAACGCCACCAGCGTTGAGGACCTGATCACCCGCCCGGCCGCTAGCGGTAACCCCAAGGAGACCCGCATCGCCGGTGCCGTTACCAACTGGACTCTGGTCACCTTGCACCACGACGACCACTCCTGCATGGACCCCAACACCATCAACGCTCCGGTCATCATCAGTACCACTGGCCACGACGGACCCTTTGGTGCTTTCTGCGCTAAGCGTCTGGTGTCCATGAACAGCGTCGACAAGTTGGGCGGCATGCGCGGTCTGGACATGAACTCGGCCGAGGATGCTATCGTCAAAAACACCCGCGAGGTTGCCAAGGGTCTCATCATTGGCGGTATGGAGCTGTCTGAGATTGACGGCTTCAACCGTATGGGCCCTACCTTTGGCGCCATGGTTCTTAGCGGTGTGAAGGCTGCTGAGGAGGCTCTGTCTATCTTTGACGAGCGCCAGCGCGAGTGTGCCGAGTAAGCACATTCTCATAGTGTGATAGTATCGTTATGGCAGCAGCCTGCCAATCAATCGAATGATTTTGACTCCACGAAGACATTCAGTAAACCATTCCCGTATTTATTAGTTATTATTTGACCTGTAGAATAAGTGTACAATAGAATTATAGTCCAACCTGTACAGTTACACCCCCTTGGATTGTTCAACAATCCTCTTCGCGTTCCGAACCTCCCACTCAAACTCCTTAAGCGCCCGCAACTCACTCGATACAAACAACCCCCCAATCAAGCCATCCAGAATACCCGCCCCGAAGCTCAGCGTACTAACCAGGACCAATATAAACGCCACATACGACAGGCCACCCGTCCACCAGGCTCCAACAAAACAGCCAATCGACACAATCACGGAAAGAATTAAATGCGCCATTCGCCAGCGTCGCTGCGAACGTTCCCGGAGATTGTACTTGTGGATCATCTCGAGGATGCGGTCGTAGGTGTCCGGTGCCAGGACGGCGTTGGGGGAGAGTGTACGGTGCTTCTGTTCCTGCTCCTGTGTGGATTCACTGTTCGATGAATCTGGCCTGCGGCGGGTCACGACAGCTTCCACGGCGAAATGGTCACTCAGCGAACAGCGCAATGTCGGATGGCGCTCTGTCATGGCAATCCTTGCAGACTCGATAGCCCATTTCGGTTCCGGGAATGAAGGCGGATATCCCCCATCACCAACGAAGATATAATCCAGCCGTTTCCCACGGGGACAAGGCGCATCCTTATCAACACCGGTATCCTCCCCCTTATCCAACCGTTTTTGGTCCGCCTTCGACCAGCGCCACGTATTATACTTTCCATCACAAGTAGCACCGTTCTCAAGCAGATTGAATTCAGCTGTTGGTATGGGTTTCCCCCGTTTCTTCTCAACTGGATCCACCGCCGCAGCAACCGACGACTCCGGATGCAAAACTTGCCACACATCCTGCACCGGCGCATGCGCACGAATCAACATATGCGCAAAAGAACTCGGCACCATATTAAAATCCCCCAACCCAATAACCAAATGCCCGCGCTCCGCCGCACCCCGCATCAACTTCGCAATCTCCCACGCCTGCGCAGTCCGATGACAGATATACGAATCGTGTGGCTCCTTCTCATACGGCGCGTGCAAATGCGTACAAAACACCTCCGCCACATCACCGACCCCCTTCCCAAACCGAACCCGTGCGCAAGCAACACCCTTCCCAACGTACCAGTCTCCGCGAAAGAACGCTGTTGGCCGGCCGTTGAGCGGGTATCCGTACATGCTGCTTTCTTCGATGGGCCATTTGGAGAGGATGGCGAGGCCGGCGCCGAAGATGCCGCCGTAGTAGAATTTGCCATAGGGGAGGATGTGTTGAGTTTGGTGGTGGATGGATTCGTAGTCTTGTTGCGTCCAGCATTCTTGTAGGCCGACGATTTCGGGGGGCGGGTTGGAGGTGGCTAGTTGGTGGCCGATTTGGGAGAGGCGGGCGTGGCGGTGTGTGGCGAGATATTTGAGGCCCCAGCAGTTGAGGGTGAGGATGCGGATGGAGGGGGTTTCCCCAGCGGAGGAGTCAGTAGACATTGCCATTGAGTCCTGTGATTGGGAGATTGAGTTGATATGCTTGTAGACAAGTCGCGAGTAGCTATGTCGGGGTCACCGCCTTCCCCATGCAGCACCCGCGATTGGCCCGGCTTTTTACAGACAAGATCAATGCAATAATCCCTCCTTTCGCTCCCTTCAATTCAGGCTTTATCCTTTCTTTGTCTGCAGAATCCCGGTGCGTCCGCGCGCAAATGGACAACTCCTCTAAACGCCGCCGACTGGATCCCCCCAGAAACAACACCCGTAATGCCCCTATCGTCCAGTCTCCCGCTGAATCCTCCTCCGACGAACTCGCCGCAGGCTCCGACCACGACGAGGCACGCCGGCGCACCAGCTGGTCCATCCAGAAGGCCTATCCGCCAAAACGCCCGTATCCGAGGTCGCGCAGCTTCTCCGGCTCAGAAAGTCCGGACGAGTTGGCCGTGGACGCGGAGGAGTACTGGCGGTCGTCGCGCAGGAATCGCGGCCGTCGCAGTCCCAGTCCGGTACAAGACTCGGACATGATGTCGGAGCGGTATGGGGATGATGAGGAGGATATGGATGAGGAAGCGGAAGACACTGATCAGCAGGATGAGCAGGAGGTTGAGGCCGGGAATGCGGAAGATGAAGGCGACGACGGGGAATATTCAGATCGTTCTCCTACACCTGTGCCTCCGCCGCCTCCGCCTCCGCCTAAACCGGATAGGCTGAATTATAAAGAGAAGTATTTGCTTCGGGGGCATTTGCGGGGGATTTCTGCTGTGCGCTTTTCTCCGGACGCGTCCATGATTGCTAGTGGTGGTATGCAATTACTTCCATGCTATTTCAGATTGCGGGTTACAAATGTGGGTTGCTGATGATGATACAGGAGCCGACGGCGCGATCAAGATCTGGGATACATTATCAGGCAAGCTCGTTCATACATTCGAGGGCCATCTGGCGGGTGTGTCGACCATTGCGTGGAGTCCCGACGGGGCAACCATCGCATCTGGTTCGGACGATAAGACCATCCGCCTGTGGAATGTATCAACAGTAAGTCCTAGGACTGCGCATTGGTTCTAACAGAAACTAATAACCATAACCTACAGGGCAAAGCGCACCCCATCCCCTTCATCGGCCACCACAACTACGTCTACCAAATCGCCTTCTCCCCCAAAGGCAACATGCTCGTCAGCGGCTCCTACGACGAAGCCGTATACCTCTGGGACGTCCGCTCCGCCCGCGTCATGAAATCCCTCCCCGCACACTCCGACCCTGTTGGCGGCATCGACGTCGTCTGGGACGGAACCCTAATCGCCTCCTGCGCAACGGACGGATTAATCCGAATCTGGGACACGGCCACGGGGCAATGTCTCCGCACACTCGTCCACGAGGACAATCCTCCCGTCACATCGGTCAAGTTCTCGCCGAATGGCAAGTTCGTGCTAGCGTGGACGCTGGACGATTGCGTGCGGTTGTGGAATTATGTCGAGGGGAGGTGTATCAAGACATACCAGGGACATGCGAATCGGAAATACAGTATTGGTGGTGGGTTTGGGAAATACGGGTTTGCGGGCATCCCACCAGATGCATTTGCGGTTAGTGGGAGTGAAGACGGGTCGATACTGTGCTGGGACGTGGTGAGCAAGAAGGTCCTCCAGCGAATCGAGGGACATAACGATGTGGTCCTTGGTGTGGACACGTGCGTGATCGAGAATAAACGACTTCTGGTTAGTTGTGGATTGGACCGGACGGTTCGCGTCTGGGAGGAGATCGAAAGGTCTCCTGAGGAGGACCAAAACGATGAACAACCAGCCGAGGCCGAGTCCGAGTCCAAAGATAAAGACACAGACATGACAGACACCGTCGAAAACGCAGCGCCGCAACCAAACGGCATCCACCCCCCGAATGGCGATTCCAACACCAACACACCAAACGGCGACCTCCCAAACGGTGACACACAAACTGGCGACGGCGACGGCGACGCGATGATGGAATGAACGATTCCTTTTCTCATTTCTTTTTCTTCTAATCCTTTGCATACATACATATATTTACGGGATGGGCATATTGTTTATTACATTTCTTTTGCTTTGACTGACATGATCATCATCATCATCCTTTTCGGTCCGCAAAAAATAAAGGATACCCTGGTGTCTGGAGTTGCTTCGTTGATTGATTGGTTGACTTATACATTGATTGATTGCTTCATTTGTTGGAGTTACGGGAACTGGGCTGTATAATAATATCTAGAACAATTGCATTATGGTGGGTGATGTCTGTGTCTGCATGTGTATCGTGTCTTTGGGGCTTTTACCTTAAGCTCGATGGAATATAGCATTATGTTATGGGGTATAATAAGTGAAAAGATAGGTTTTGGTTCGTATACATTAAGTCATTTGCAAACATTTGGTATCCTTACTCTAAAAAAAAAAATTTTAAAAAAAATTAAAAAATTAAAAAATTAAAAATAAAAAATACACCTTACCAGCTAACTGTTCCAAGTAAAGATTGAAAAATTAGCGTTTTACTTGAAGCCCCATCCAGGGCTCAGGACAGATGGTATGGCATATGGCAGATGAATAATGAGTGTTCCAGCCATGCTCTTATAAAACGCAGTCTTGTTCGGGTACCTGGCGCCAAGTCAAGGAGTAGGTAGTGAATGCTTTCCTTCAACGTATCGGGGTTAGAGGGAGAACGTACCTGGCGCCTGCTGGGTTTTGTTGTAGATGGGGGTTATTGCGATATTCAGTTCAGTCTGATCTGATGGTTCGAATAATGTCGTATCTGTGATAGAAAGTCATTATCATCATGTCCTGTGCGGCTCTGGTAAATCAGCAATAGAAAATAACCAAGCCATATCCGGCTCTTGCACAAGACTCGGTGGAAACAATTCCCTCGGCCACGCCGTTCCAGACATAGGAGTCGTCGAGTTACTTCCAAAACCCTCATGGCTCGAACTCGCAGAAGCCGGCTGTGTGGTAGATGACCTTCAAGAACCACTCGACTCATCCAGCAGCAAGGGCACTGGAAGCGGCACGCCTTCGAAATCGAGGTTCCTGGACGATGTAACGCGACGGAGGAAACTGACGGAAATATTGAAGCCACGTTTACAGGCGAGATCATGATTCATTATGTGGTGGAGCCAGCGGGGAGCTTTTTTGCAGCTAGGGAGGACTATGTCGGTGGGGTGTGGGGATCCTTTGGGTTGTTCTTCGTGGCCTTGTTCTGTTCTTACGAGCACGGGGCCCACGGTGAGATGGATGAGGAGGACTCTTGTTTCTTGCATGATGAAATGTAGCATCGTCCACCATGGTGATACTGTATAGAACCATTCCTCATCGGGCTCGTCTGGTAGGACGGCAAGGAGTAAAAGTGCGGAGCGGACACAGGTGAGTGCTGTATCGTTCCCGAAACGACTCCTAGGAAACCGGATGCCACTGTGCTCTCTGAGTCCAGGGCGTGAGAGACATGGGCGATTTATGAGGATGCAAGTGCTGTAGAAGTGCAGGGCCAGGCTGGCTTGTTCGCGTGATGAAGGGCCGCGGGGCAGCTCTCCATCGTTATCAGAGAAAGCAAATAAAGTTTTGATAGTAGATACCCATTTGTTCAGCTTTTGGGAGTATAGTTTGATTGCGTTTTCTACCTGGTCCCATCCGTCCCGCAGGGCATGGACCCCGTAGATACGACTGGTGATGGTACTGGCGACTAGTGACAGGTCCATTTGATAGGCAAAGTAGAGTGACGGTTTTGGTTTGATAAACTGGAGTCGCAGAGTCCGGCTTTTTGTCTGTAGCTCGGTTTCGAATAAAGTTCAGTTTGCGATCTTCTCGCGCTCCGATTCATTACTAAAAGAAGAAGACGCGGGACTGTCTGAGAACGAGCCTTCAGTGAACGGGATAGGCGCATGTACAGAGAACGATTCATCCAAGCTTGAGGCCCTGCCGGTCATAGTCGTGAGGGAATGCTCGAGCATGGATATTGAACACCAAAGACGGTACTGGGACTCTCTGGATACGGCGTCGGTCTTGTCATCCACATTGTGCATGTTGATTCCAAGAGCAATTGCTGAGCTCGATGAAATGCGTATCATTTGACATGTTGATGTCTTCGTCGACAACATCTAGGGCGTCTAAAGGCCCTGCTGACGAGACTGAGGAGAAGCCTTCTTTGCGGCCATGGCCGGGGGAACGTTTCCTTTTCTTCGCATCAGGCTATATGTTGGTCAGATAAGAGCTTTTTTTTTTTTTCTTTCTTCTAGAGTGACAACAAACTCCTAGCACCTGGTCAATATCCTCCACAATACAACCAGCCCTCTCTGCAACCTTTTTCAGCAAAGAGTGATACCGCTCATTCTGGCTCTTGAGCTTCTGGAACGCGTCCTTGTCTTTCTCGCGCCGGTTTGACGGGTAATTGCAAGCAACACTTGTGTTCAAGCATTGCTTACAGCTTGGTTTATCACCATTACAACGGATCTTGCGATCGCGGCATGCCTGGCAGGCGCGTCCGACTCGCCGACGAGTTGCTGGTGGCGGTAGGGGACCGGCACGTGGTATGGCGATTCCGTCCATACTGGCGTCAATGAAGGAATTTGGGGGTTTTGGTAGTAGATTCATGGAGATTAGACAGCTATTGGATATGCAAACTGTCGTTGTATTTGCAAAAAAAAAGAAAGAAAGAAAGAAAGAAAGAAAGTTACAAAAACCTCATTGGCTATTTAGCCGTAATTTACGTACATATCATCGACTATCGATAAGATAACGATGATTGGAACATTTAGGGTTAACAGAAGCAATGCGCTCTCAGTTCAAATATTACGCCACTACTGATACTCCGGTTAGCAATAGGGTTGTGGATAGTAGTTGCCCTATTCCCAGTATCATAGATGGATATATTGGCCAGACTATTAAAGGTCACGAGGTCTCAAAGCCATCACGCCAAGTGTGATGGGAAAGGTCCGATAATTTGGTTCACCGCCTGCTAAATATATACAACACGTGACATATCATCCGCCACTCGAACGGCGCGCCTCGATCATTCTCTCTTCCTCAAACCCTCTGCCCGATTTGAAAGAGAAAAAGAGGTCGGATCATGACACTGCATTTAGCCCAGTATGGGCTCGCAGCTGGATGCAAATTCCAGCGCTGTGCGCAAACGGATAGAAAAACGTATACTCCCAACTTCTATGTTCAGCGTGTTCGCATACTGACAGTGGCTATAGACAACTTCGATGACGAGGAGGGCGAAGAGTATGAGGCGTCCAGCTTTGGTGGCTTTGCCGATTATATGAGGCGCAAGAAAATTAAACTGCAAAATCTAGATGCAGAGATACGCGCTTCATCCGCGGACAATCCCCCCATTTTCCGGGGTGTGGTTGCGCATGTTAACGGCTACACGCAGCCGTCTCTGCAGGATCTCCATCGTCTCATAGTGAGCCATGGAGGTGGCTTTGTCCAATACCTTGAGTCCAAGACTGTAGCGACGCACATCATCGCCAGCTCGCTGACTCCGAAGAAGCGAGAGGAGTTTCGCAGATATCGCATTGTCAAGCCGGCTTGGGTGGTTGAGAGTGTTAAAACAGGGCGGATGCTTCCCTGGGAAGACTTCAATGTGGTGGACGAGGGTCAAAGTCAGAAGGTGCTCAAGTTCAATAGCGGACGTCTGCTTAGCCAGACGAATAGTCCTCGAACAGGGTACAAGGACCAAACTAGCTCGAGCTGGTACACGTCGCAATTGAAATCCTCGATCGATCGAAAGGATATAGCCCCTCAGCCCACGCCGTCGGAGACTGCCGGTAAATCCGACGAACCTCTAAATACAACAACTCAGTCTGATTACGGCGAATTTCCGAGTTTCAGTGCTCTTGATGAACCGCAAAAGCAGCCATCAGATGATGTACAAGATGACGAACTACCAGATTCCAGACCAAGCGTCAACCTCTCGGAACAATCTGAAGCACAGGGCTTTTCTTCGAGATCACCGAACAAAGCCAAGCAAACATCTTCACCATCTCCCAAGGAGCCTACTCCAAAGCCAGGTCTAACATCCGAAGAATACAACGCACAGCTCTTGAATGATCCCCGTATGAGGAGCTCAAGCGTTGTCAATCCAGAATTCCTCCAGCAGTACTACAGAGAATCCCGTTTACATCATCTTTCGACATGGAAGGCTGAGCTAAAAGTGCAACTACAAGCAGCAGCAAAAGAGAAAACAATATCCCAAGCGGGCCAAAATAAGCGTGCTTCGGGAGCAAGACGGTACATCCTTCACGTTGACTTTGACTGCTTTTTTGCAGCAGTGTCAACGCTTAAACATCCCGAGCTGAATGGGAAACCGGTTGCCGTCGCCCATGGCACGGGGACTGGTTCTGAGATTGCCAGTTGCAACTATGTAGCACGGTCTCATGGCGTCAAAAACGGGATGTGGATGAAAGGTGCACTACAAGCATGTCCGGAACTTCAAGTGCTACCTTACGATTTCCCCGCGTACGAGGATGCAAGTCGCAAATTTTACAGCGCTGTATTGGCTCTTGATGGTGTTGTCCAGAGTGTCAGTATTGACGAAGCCTTGGTGGACATAACTTCCCAATGTCTGGAAGCCGGGGGCACGGATGGCAGGGGTATATCCGAAGGATCCCTCTATCGTGAACAGCTTCAGGCGGATGAAATTGCCCAAGGTCTACGGGACTCGGTCAAAGCCACCGCTGGCTGTGCGGTTTCTGTCGGGATTGGTGGTAATATCTTATTAGCAAAGGTTGCGCTGCGAAAAGCTAAGCCTGCTGGACAATTCCAGTTAAAACCCGAAGCTGTACTTTATTTTATCGGCAACCTCACTGTCCAGGATCTACCAGGAGTAGGATACAGTCTTGGGACGAAAATGGAAGATCTTGGTGTCAAATTCGTCAAGGACATCAGGGATATCTCTAAGGAAAAGCTGCTCTCCAGTCTGGGGCCAAAGACAGGCGCAAGGCTATATGATTATGCCCGTGGTATCGACCGGACAGAAGTTGGGAACGAAGTCCTCAGAAAGTCTGTCTCAGCTGAAGTCAACTGGGGTATTCGATTTGTGAGCCAAGCTCAGGCTGAAGATTTCGTGCAATCCTTATGTGCCGAATTGCATCAGAGACTAGTCGAGAACCTTGTCAAGGGCAAGCAATTGACCCTGAAGGTCATGCGGCGAGCTGCGGATGCACCCTTGGAGCCAGTGAAACATCTGGGACATGGAAAATGCGACGTCTTCAACAAGAGCATTATCCTCGGGATTTCCACCAATGCAAAAGAAGTTATCGGAAAAGAAGCAGTCTCTATGCTCCGGAGTTTCAACATACCGCCAGGAGATTTAAGGGGCTTGGGGGCACAAATGACCAAACTGGAGCCACTCAAATCTGGCGAAGCAGAGAAACCTGAAAGCAGCCAGCAACAGCTTAACTTCAAGGCATCTCCAGCCCGGAAGCGCGTAGAGCGCAATATCGACCCAGATAACTTGGAGAGTCCTCGTAAGGGAGAAACAGAAATAGTCACATCGGTGACCCACGACCCAGCATCCGACAGCGGCCACAGGCCGTTGAATATCTCCGGTACTCAGTTCATCCTGCCATCTCAACCTGACCCCGAAGTCGTCGCAGAACTTCCAAATGATATCTGGTCAAGACTGAAAGCGCAGGCTAAACCTGTACGAGACTCGCGGTCCACGTCTCCCTGTCCTCCACCTCGTCAAGCGCAGGCGCCTGCAACAGAACTTCCCCCCCAATCTCAGCTGGATCCCGAAACTCTAGCAGCCTTACCGGAAGATGTACGCGCAGAGGTGCTGGGTTACTACAGCCAACCCACTAGGGACACCATGCCCCAGCCTTCGACATCTTCAGCACCGGCAGCACGCCCTCTATCCTCCGGTCCTTCGAGAATCAAGAAGCCCCCGACACCAAGTAAAAAGCGCCGCGGCCGCCCTCCGACAAAGGCATCCGGCAACATGACCCTTACACAAAGCTTCGTCCGAGCACGGCCCCCAACCGCGAGCAACGACAGTGAACCACCCTCGAGACAGCTTACACCTCCAGCAGAACACCCGAAGATATCAGAAGACTTCCTCGCCGCGTTACCGGAAGACATCCGCCGCGAAGTCCTTGAAGATCACAAACGGAATACCCGTCTGCAGCAACACCAATACCCCTCGAACGCGAACGTAACCGTCTCAGCCCCTCGACGAGTACTTCAACCCAAGCCTCCTAGCCAACAATCCGCACAAAGACGCCTGCGTCTGCCCCCGCTCCCGGAAAGACCAACATTCACATCCCGAAAACTCTCAAATATATCAGATCTACGCGATGCGGTCGGTACCTGGCACACCACTTTCGCAGACGATGGACCCTTCGCTGAGGACGTGAAATCGCTCTCTCGGTATCTGCAGCGCGTTGTCGTCGACGAGAAAGATGTAGACAAGGCCGTGTCGGTAGTTAACTGGCTGGCATGGTTGGTGGATGATGGGTGTGGGAACGAAGAGGCGCCGGAAAGTAAGCAACCTGAGGCGCCTGATAGTCCTCGTGATTCTGTGACGTGGGATGATGCTCTTCGGTCCTTGCGTGCGGATTTGAATGGTGTTGCTGAGGAGAGGGGGTTGCCGCCTGTTGAATTTGATTAATTGTATTTGCAGGTCATTGTATATACTCTGATGGGTGATGTTGGTTTCTGTGATCTATGCCATCGTATGTATATACTGCTCAATGTGCTCGGTGTCTGTCGTTAATTGAGATATATATTCGCAAGAACAAACCAAATACAGCGGAAGACAAACAAATAACAGATACCACCCAAAACCACTTCAATAAGTTTTGAAGAAACATTACCAACAAATACGTATACGATCTCATCCAAACCAAGATTAACAACACCCACGATGCACAACATACATAACCCCTCATAAAGCATAGCGGGGTGAATTTTTCCATCAAATGGGCTTGTGGTTTAGTGGTATAATACCCCCTTAGCATGGGGGTGGTCCGGGGTTCGATTCCCCGCGAGTCCATTTTTTTTTTTTTTTTTTTTTTTGCTTTTTATTTATTTAAAAATATATTTATATATATATATTTTTTTAGCTCGCGTCCTTGTATGCGAGTCTATGGGACGATTACCAGTGCAACCATACAATTTCTGTTTCTTTTTTATTCTCCACTGCACGTAGGCGAGAACGCAATCATTGTGGATACAGAAATAACATTGATCGTGAAATATGAGACCAAGACCATACAAGGTAGATCGCCTAACCAATCCTCTACCTCCAACACTCCCCCCGGAAGTACTCCACCATCTTCTCGACAAGCCCCCGACTCAACGTCCCAGCACCCGCCAACGCACCAGAGACCCGTCTCGCCTCCTCAGTGCGCCAATTAAACGTCCGCCTTGGCTGATCGGTATCATACTTGCCCGCGAAGAAATCAACCAATTTAATCGGCGGGTTTAGCACGGGGTCTGCACTTGACTCGCGCAAACGACGGACCCATTCGCGTTGGTCGAGTTCTTCGAATTCGAGACCCGCGGCGTGCAAGTAGGGGAGGAGATCATGTGTCCAGTGGAAGGGGGTGTTATTGATGATGTTGAAGATACTTGATGACTCTGTGCCTTCTGATGAAAGCGTGATGTCGATGACGGTATCTGCGACGGTATCGACAGGAAGCCAGAGGTGTGACTCGTCGAGTTTGGGGAGTGCACCGATCGTCGTGGCGGATTGGAGCATTAGGGGTATCGCCTCTGTTGCGTTCCAGATTCCGTGCTGAGTATCTCCAATGACCTGTCCGATTCGGAGGACGCGGGCTCGAATGCCTGTTTGCTGTTTTGCGGCGCCGCAGAGGTGTTCGCCTACTAGTTTTGACTGGGCGTAGCCCATGCCTTGTGCGTAGCTGAGTTTTTCGGGGAGGGCTTCGGGGATATCATTGCCTTCGGTGTTGACCACGGCACTGACGGAGGAGCAGAAGTTGAATTTTGCTGGTGCTGGTCGTTGGGCTTTGAGGGAGAGGTCGATTAGGTTCTTGAGACTGCCGATGCTGTCTTTTTCGAAGCTGGCGAGTTGGTAGTTGAAGTTGACGGACCAGGCGCAGTGGATGACGTCTGTGATTTCTGAGGTCAAGGTGTTGTATGTCGTGGGATTGAGACCCAGAGTAGTCTGAGATAGATCCGATGGAAGCGCAACCAGCTTGTTTCGAGCGGCGTCGGGAAGAGTATCGTAGACTCTTCGAGTTCGCATCGACTTGAGCAGACGGTCGTATGCCTCGATCACGGAAGCTGCACGTACGAGGCAGTAGACCTTTTGAACATGTGGTAGAACCGATAATCTTGCGGCCACATGACTGCCCAGTGATCCAGTAGCTCCTGTAACGACCTGTTACTGTTAGCTCACTGAAGCAGAAATAGGTCGAATCAAGGTGTACTCACAATGTATCCCCCGTTGAGACCATTAGGAACAGGCCTATGCTGTTCAAACTGACTGTACTTCGAAATCAACGCCCTCATCTGCTCCTCAACCGACACATCACTACCTGCAGCCCCAGAAACAAGAGAGCCAAGATAACGCGCCAAGTCATTGACCATGGGATGCTCAAAAGCGACATTAAGCCCCAGTTGCTGGCCATTCGTATTAATCGTCTTCACAAGAACAGACCGCAACTGCGTAGCTTGTAAAGAATCCATCCCGAGACCGAAAAAGTCAGCGTCATCGGTCAATGCTGCCTGAGACTTCGACGGTAGAATCGACTGTAGTTGCTCCCTGATGAAGGTCTTCAATTCCGGCTCCGATAGTGTCAATGTGCCGGTCATGGCATCCTCCGTCTCGTACGCTTCGTCGATCAACCGGCTGAAGGTCCTGTAGAAGGCTTGTCGAATCACAGTTCCCTTGTCCGTACGAGGATACTCAGTGTCTGCTGGGAGAACTCTGACTAGAGTCTTGGAAAGCTGGCCATACGCGGGCATGGCCTCATGCGCATTTTCAACAGCAGGCCAGATACGTTCGATGATATCCTCGTCAGACAAGGATTCCGTGTCAGCTGCACGAATGACAGCCAGCCCAATACTAGCTCTACCCGACCCAAAAACCACAACCTCGGAAACCGCATCATTTTGTCGGACAATACCTTCCATGTCCAAGGGGTTCACCTTCTCACCATTGACGAGGACAATGGTATCGTCCAGGCGTGCGTAGTACTTGTATGCCTCGATAGTCGGATGCTTCAGGAAGAGATCTTTCGTGGCATAGGAACCGTCTGGTCTGTTAGACATCACTTTTGACGGCCAGCCGTCGAGACAAATGAGCTCGAAGATGCCAGGGCTGCGCTCTTCGAATTGGAGGTACTTCTTCACGGCTTCTGAAGGACGGAGGTAATCCCACCCCTTGTCTTCGCGTGGTCTGAAGGAGGTCATCAATTGGCCGGTTTCAGTCCTGTATAGTCATCAGTAAGGCTTACTATACATGAGCTTCGGGATACGTACGTTCCATAATGACTGATAAGAATAACACCATTCCCCACAAGTCGATTACCCAGCGAATCCGGACAAGCAGAACCACCAAACATAACAGCCTTGAGCTTCGCCAGAACCGCGATGCCCTCGTCAGACTCAGCAAGCAACTTGAGAGCATACGGCACTCCGTAGAAGATCTCAAACCGATGAGTCTGCATGATGTCGAGCAGAAACTGCTTCGTGAGTGGCAACTCAGCATTGTACAAATGGAGCGTCTTGCACGAATGGACCGTCCGGAAAAGACAACTAATACCATGATTATGGTACAGCGGAAGCGTGATGAACCCGGACATGTTCATGTTCCCTGCGTAGTTCCTGATCGCAGCGCCTTGGTTCTGGAAGATTGGTTTGGGAAGGCCTGTTGAGCCGCTGGAGTGGATAATAAACGAGATATATTTTGACTCTTTCTCTAGGTCCAAATTTGGCGTGAGGTTTGTATCGACATCTTCGACAATAGGGTAGTCGTAGGATGCCTGAGTCGGGATCTCGCTGATATCCAAATCCGGGAGTCGTTCCTTGAGCTCGGCTGCTGTGTTCTTGAAAGACTCATGGATAAAGATGTGCTTGGACTGCGTCTTTTCCAACAGCGAGGCATATGCTTCCAGAGATATGCGCGTCGAGAGAAACAGGATGGAGTGACCGAGTTTCGTAAGCGCAAGAAGAGTGACCAGGTAGTTTAGATCAGACGGTCCCAGTAGAGCAATCACTGCTGGCGTCTCCGACGACGAGGCTCTCGGTGGGATACGAGCTCCAGTGTCTTTGGCAACGCGAAAAGCATAGATATCGAGCTGGCGTAGCGGATAATCAACATATTCGGTACCTGTGCGTGGATACGATATCACCGGTTGCGAGGAGCCGAGCGATGCTCTGTGTCGTACGAGCTCATCTACTGTCAATGCTTCTCTCTCCGGCACCTTGACGGAAGTCGTTTTGGCCTCCAATGTCGAAACCGGGGGAAAGGCCGATGGAGGCTTAGTTTCCGAAGGGGGAACAGGGGATTCTAACATGGTGAAAAGGAACCGTGCATCAATTGGGAGAAGACTGATTCTCGGGGAATATCGAGCACAATTCTAGATGAGAAGAAAGAGGAACGCAACATTTAAACTGTCTCAAAAAAAATGATCTGCACCCCGCGAAGTCCAAGAATGATATCAAGCCAGCCGAGTAAAAACAATGCTGCGTTAGTAGGCCGTTGCGGAAAAGCTCGCGAGACCGGATTTTATTCCGACAAGCCAAACCCAAAACTTTGGACCGAACGGATATCCGAGAACTTCGTATAAAATTTCCTTGGAAACTCGGAGCATCAGCCTTGTGGATATATCCGATACTGCAAGTATTCTCGGTCCATTTGATTCGGAAGGTGGTCATATGCGCCGGTTGCATGACCCGGATACCCATAAGATTCTCCCAGTCCACCCGGAAACAGGAAAGAATGATTATACGAATATTGCTTTTCGAGATTGAACCAGATTGCTTATGGCATGCGTCTAGATGTGGTCGACAGTCATTGAGACACCAATTATGCCATAATGCAGACAAATGCCGAAATCCAAAATGTAAATGCGATATATGATACAACCAAAAACTATGCCTTTTGGGATATAATCTTGTTGCACCATCAAAAAAAAAAAAAAAAAAAAATCGTGCTCGGTATCATACATCATCGACTGTACATCAAAAGATAAACATGGATGGGTCATTTGACGGATTCGAAAAAGCCTGCAGAGGAAAGTAAGCCAACCCGATATATTCAACTTCAATGGCGAATCCACTCACCCAAGAATCCAGCTGAGCCCACCAATTCGGCCCTTCCAGGCTCTCCAGAAGACCAATGTCATCCATAGGGTCAAGCGAAGCTCCAGAAAAGCCTGACGCCTGAAAGTTCTGTGGCGGAGCATAGTCCAGAACACTGGAATCCAGCGAGACTGACTGGTCGACATTGGCAAAAAGAAATTGATCTTGGTCCAGAGCAGCTTCCTGGTTTCGCACGTTTACCGGTGTGCTCGATGGTAATGGAGAGCCGATTTGTCTATGGACTTCACGTCTCAACTCCTCCAAGATGATGCTGTAACGACGACTCGGGCAGTTTTGGCGAGTGGCTTCTGCGAGATGCCGTTGACAGGCTTCTGCAAGGTCGAATAGATCGTGCAAGCGACTGCTATCTTCTATACTCTGTGGTGAAAATGCTGATGGAGAAGAGGATTGGTGCTGTTGGATGATGTATATGTATACCACGATAATGGCGCAGAAGCATACATAATGCGTGAACCAAAACGACTGTATCATGACGCCCTGTTTGGCGAGACTGTCCACGAGAGTAATAACATTCTCAGCAGCACCGATGCATTTCTGCAAGACATTCGTCACTGTCGGATGGGGTATTTGAGGTCTGCGGCTGAGGTCTGTGAAATCGTTCAAGAGGAATGACCGGGTGACATGGATCATCGCATGGGAATATGCCAGCTGTAGGACTTGACTCTGTCGACAAAGCGGCGGGATAAGACTCGTCGGGCGAACACTACTGAACAGTGGTGGCATCTCTTCTTTCCACTTCTCCAGCTCTGTAGTAAGACGAACGACTCTGTCAAGTGGCGAATCTCGAGAATGGGAATTGATTGAACCAAGCTGCCGCGAGATTTCCCCGAGAATACGACCGATCCTAACAAATGAGGCATACATCACTACCCAGACCCGACAAGAAAAGAGAGAAAGAGGACTTACTTGTAATGGAGAACAGACGCGATCATCATACAGTCTGCTGAGCCAGTCCTCTTTGCCGGGTCTTCTTGCAGCATGTCCTCGTCATTCATTTCCTCGGGAAGTTCCTGGTCAATGTCCTCATCATGAAGCAACCTGGGCCGTCCAAACATGACGCTGAGGTACTTGTCCAAGGTGTATGCGCTCCAGAAGATGCGCTTTCGAAGTTCCTGTTCAAGGTAGGTATTTCCATTTTTGGACTTCTTTACAGAAAACTTTCTATGCAACCCTAGTGCCGTTACGAGTTGTAAGGCCGTGCCAAATGCATACCAACACTCATTTGCTCGCGAGGACGAGAGCAGGTAAAGACATTGGCCCAGACGTCCTTGGATCGTCTCTAGTCGCGGAGGACCAGACTCTATGGAAGACATGTACTTTGAGGCCGTATACCATAGCTCACTGTAGCGACTTAGTATTGTAAGCCGTGATGTAAATGGACAAAGGAGAAGTAGTTACCTTTCATTCCCATGATCTTTCTGAATTCCAGGATGTTGCTCCTCGTACAAAGTAGCTACCGAGAAGATCATAAGTATGATGGCGGTTCTCGCAACCATATTGCCAGTCGGTGGGTTAGCAATGGAGAAATCGTTCTCATACACCTGAGTCAACCACTCGTCGACGCTTCCCCTGTGCAAAAAGCGGTAAGTGACAATGGCATAATCAAAGTAGATATCTACCAGATCCCGGGCCTTGTCGAACGGTGGAAGCGTAAAACCGGATTCCTGGAAATTTGAATATGGTCTGTCCCCGAACATGAACACCGATGTATTCCTTGTAGAGCACTCATTTTGCAGTTCGTCCGTGATCGCAGAAGATTCATCGTGGTGTAAACGCTGCCATACTCGATTGAGAAAAGAGATGCCCGAGGAAGGACCAAGATAGTTGCCCTCTAGGTCTGTAGCCACCGGTTCTGGCGAATCCCGAGACCCAAGCCCCGAGCTGCCTCTAAGAGGCTGTGAGCGTGACGAAGCAGGACCTATGAGACGGCTCCTAGCAGATCCTTGAGACGGAGGGCTAAGATTATAACCGGTATGATTGGACGAAGGACTGGTATTCCCACCTCCGCTTTTTGAGAACGGTACAGGTTCCGGGGGTAACCCCCTAGAATAAGCAGCATTGTACTCGCAACGCAACGACAGCCTAGAACATCTCAAGCATGGCAGCGTCCCTGTGCAACGGGTCTTCTTTCCCTTGCAGTAATCACATGCTCTGGTGATTTTCTGCCGTTGCGCATGGCTCTTGTTATTGTTTCCGGCGGATGAGTCAGAAGTCTTTCTCTTTCGCCCAGGAGCAGGAACAGTGTTGTTCTGGAAGAGTTCGACATGGCTGTCATTTCTGGGCGATAACTGCGCGTCCGCCCTAGTGATTGTAGCGGCAGCCATTGAAATCGACAGGCGATAAGATGACTAGTCGATGGCGGTTACTTGGCACTGCAAGCATGAGAGGCTAGTGGCTGCGTACTTTTCCGGTTCTGCGATGCCACGGCTTGCACAAGGAAACGTTGTTCCACAAGAACACGCGTATATTCAAAATGAAGATAGCGAAATGAGGGAAAATAGTAGGGGAGAAGTTTCCGAGTCACTCGCGGATTTGTCCAGGATGATATCGTCGGCACGGTCCTGTGCGGGGTTGGGAAATCTATCTCCACAGTCCACATTCGGACGGGGAAATAAAGTACATAGGTCCCGGGGCGAAAAGGCAGAAGAATTATCATTTTGAATGGGATAATATATTTTGACGGGAATTAGAAGTCGATTTGGTGAAGATTATTATCCAGGGTGAGTGGACGTTGCTGAAGAGACAACCTCGCAGGGCCAGTATGATGGACCGAGAGAGCGTGAATAAACCCGAAAATCTTGGTGCCATCCTTGCGTCGACAATCCGCATAGCCCGGAATCTCATAGCCCGGACTCTCATAGCCCACTGAATGCCGATCCTATCACATGGGCGAAGCAAGCACCATGCGTCCTTATTCCCGTCTTGGAACGACGGGAGCTCAACAGGAAAATGACAAAATGGGTCCAATTCTACGTATCACGTGTATTCCCGGTTCGAATGAGGGCAGGTTTATTCGGGAGGGAAAGCATAGGACGGAACCGGCTCGCGAGAATGGAAACGGAAGCGTGTAAATTTGTAGGAGTGTGATCACCAGGAGGTGTATCTGTCGTTCTCTTGAACCTTTTCTCGGAGCGTTGAGAATTAGCTATTAGGGTAAATGATTCGAAGCTCATCTGGTGCAATATTGGAGCTAAAAGCTCCAAGACGGAGGAAAGGAATGAAACAAGACAAAAGGACATATACATATTCGTGGGTAACCCCAGTCATTGACGACGCTCTTCCTGGATATCCAGCTGTATTTCCAATGCCCCAAGCTGCCCAGAAATACCATCTTTTGCCCCACACAATAAAATAATCGTTCAATCCCCTTGTAGCTCACATTCCCGGCTATCTCAATTCTCACCAGACGGGGGAGTCTGAGGACGGGCAGAAGTGGCATAGGCTATCACCAGAAGATAGTCATGACAATGGGCGTTGATAAGGCTTTTTCGTGTTCCCCGCATACGGCCATCAGGTGTTCTTCATCGTTTTCTCCGGTCAATGAATGCATCCATCCTCTCATGTCTCATTGACTCGCATAATTAAGCGGATACAACGGGGGCACGCCGTCCACCATCATTCCATCTTGCGCATCGTCGATTCCATTCTCGAGGCTAGAAGCCCGATCTTCAGCCTTGTCCAAGACCTGATTGAGGACTTCTAAAAGGTGTTTTTCGGGTAGCTGTGCCCTGATGCTATGAATGATTGCAGCCGCAGAATCATTGTCTCCCTCCCGAAATGCCCTGATTAACAATCCCTTAAATTGGCGCTCATAATCTCTTGATCCTTCAAGATGCTTCACGCGTTCCATAAGGCGTTTATTCTCCTCCTCGGAACGCTTGGCGGCAACCTTGCGACGTTTGTCGGCGGACTCATCGACGAAACACTGACATCCTTGTAGTGTACATTCGGTGCAGGGGCTTCCTGTGGTATCATAGCTGCACTGGAACAGATGTGTGAGAATAATGCTCCAAATGTAGGTTCTGTTCGACGAGTAACACGCGCAACGAAGAGAGCGGAAGGGAAGGGTGGGAAACTAGAGAGAAGAAGAAGAAGGGTGGGAAACTAGAGAGAAGAAGAAGAAGAAGAAGAAGAAGAAGAAAAAGAAGAAGAAGATGATGATGATTGATGAACGCAAGTACCTTTGTCCGACGACGCTTGCACTCAGCACAGGCCATTGATGCCCTTTTCACCTTGTGTTCCTCATTGGTACTAGGATCAGGATTTTCCGGAACAAGACCTGATGTGGTCCTGGGAGCAAGTGGGCGGAGAGGCCTGAAGGAACCTTGATGGGCCATAGTCCGAGGGACAAACGGAAGTGTACCGGAGAGATATTGTAATAAGACAAATTAAAGCAAGAAGAAAGAAAAATAGAGAGAATCAAACGGAGGAGATAGACAGAGCTCGAGATGTGCTTGTTGTCAAGACCGCGGTCAAGAGTTTGCGAACAAACCCTAGAAACATGCTCCTGGCAGGGAAAGGAAAAAGACCCCAGCAGTTTTGTGTATTTTTTTTTTTTTGTTTTTTTTCCCCCTGGAATTTCTGTAGGTGTGAAATCCAGCTGCACATAGGGAGTGTACTTGGTGTGCGCAAGTCTGCCGTGCACAAAAGTCAGCGTATCTTTTTCTCTCTCCTCTTGTCTCTTATCTTTTCTTTTTCTTCCCCTCCTTTCATATAGACGCACAACACAAAGACAATAAGTACTAGTAAGTAGTAATTTCGCAGCTCAGAGGGGCTCCAAGATGGAATGTGGGTTTGGGTGGCGGGCCTGGTGCAGGAAGAGAAAAATCGACAACTTGGCTTCGGGAGGTGCCTGTTTCTCACATAGGCTGACCAAAAAAATACATCATTAGATCTGTCCTCAATCTCCAAAGACAAGAGTACTTATACTCTTAAGTAACGCCCTAGAACCAGCAGTAGTAGGCCCGGAGTACGCAGAGCAGGAAAGCCTTCGAAATTTGGGAGACGATTGCAGCAGCTCTCCGTAAAGTGGGCACTCATTGGGCGACAAATTACGAAGTAATAATCTGTGCAGAATACACAGCCGCCTCCTCCATTGGGGCGACGAAATCTTCCCCGTTGGCCTCCGTACCGTACCAGACAAAAGGATACAGTAGTACTACATCAATACATAATGAGTTAATAATATGGTCCGCCACTGAGAGCAGTACTCTGTATGTTCGGAGAGTCTGCACTGCTATTGATTTAAGCATAGTCCGTTTGCTTCTGTGAGCACGCACTTCCGTAAGGATGATACACGTCACCCAGTAAGTTATTTAAATTCAAACGAAGATTTTCTTGCTCGGCGACCATGCTCGGGATTCTTCTCCGGTAGCTCATTTTGCACCGAAGCTTCCTTTCGGGGAGGAAGTAGGGAGGGGGTCAGGTGTCTGGAGGGCGTGCAAACGTGGTGACACTTTGGCACGACAGATTCCAACCCACAGATTCCTGAACCTGGATCCATGGATATTATTCGATGCAACCGCTGTGTGGCTCCGTGTGGCGAAAAAAAGGATGGAACTAACGCGGTCTGGCATTCCTGCATCATTTTTAAACGAGTTTAGCGCCGGGAAATAGTTCCTGCAAATTTAATAGGCTAAAACTCAGTGACTGAAGTGCTAAAAGTGGTATGTGCCCTGTAGTATATCAGCACGTTGAACTGTAAAAGGGAAACGAAGGGTGTGGATCATTAGGTTAAGTGTAGCACTACTGTACATAGTACAAGGTAGTACTAGTAATTTCTTTAGATCTTCTCTTGTCAGTGGGATGAGTTCATAGGCCAACTGTGCATAAGCCGTTCTGCCGCTTTTATGACTACGACTCCGTATTTGCCAGCGGCTATCTTTTCCACAGTGGACCGGGTGTGCGTGTGGATGTGTGTGTGTTGGGGACATTGGTAATCTCACAATATGTACTTGTACTAATGGGCCGTGCATTATCCACTGTGGCAAATTCCTGGTTGTCTTTCGCTTCAGTTCCCGCTCCCACTGGTAGGGCTCTGGAGGGGTTGCCCCCGTTGTCCCTTTTACTGATTGATCATCACTGATTTTCCGTTTGCAGACACTCCGTACAAGTAGATAGTTATATCAGAGTACCAATGACCCTACAAATTCAATCCCATGAACAATGTTGGCCCCAACCGTGCCAATCAATGATTCACAAAATCCGATCCTCACTACTTTGTATGTATTGCGACCTACAAAGTAGCAACTCTCGGCTGCCTACCCCAGCCAATCAGGCGCTACGGAGACAAGTCCCATGAGTCCCGTATGGGTTACTTGGAATCAGTCCCCGTCAGACTCACCACTGTGGAGCTACTCTGGGTTTCCTAACGCACACGTACTCCGTATGTACTAGTTAATACATACTTACTACTGCACGGTACAGAGTACGGAAACAGCATATTCCAACACCTCGAGCCATAGGGGATTCAGGAAACTCAGTCCCCCTATGCACGAGTCTTTCCTCGCAGGGTATGTACTACCGCAAATACTACTACTATAACTATATGTACAAGTACAAGTATATATTCGTACGTGGCGCTGGAGATCCTGTCATGGCCAAGCCAAACTTGCAGATGATCGATCAGACCGAATACTACAGAGTACTTGTCCCAATTCCAATGGATAATAATCTTTGCTAAATAGATACAAGAAAAGAAATAGGAAACCAAATTAGCCGAACCCCTCACCCAACGAACGCCGCCGGAAAAAAAATCCACTTAGTAAATAGGCCTTCCCTCGTTCCAAGCGCGCGATGCACCAACACCAGAAGCCTGTTGTTCTGTCTGGTGCTGATAATTCTGCCCCTCGTTATTAATATCGCCACTGTCCGGTGACACAGGGGACTGTTTGTTGCTCTCTCGACGGTCTGAGACGCTGCTGATCCCTCCTATCCATTCCCACACACGCGCCACATCGCCGCCACGACCCTCTCGAACTGCAGCTCGGATATTGGCATTTCCCTCCACCACATCGCGGACGCGCCGCCAGAGGTCCTCCCGCCTGCGTCCTTGCAGTTCTGATCGCAACACGTCGTCTCGCAGTTGTCCAATAGGGATATACGGTTCACGAGCTGCGCCGCGAGAATGCAAAGCTGCCTGCGTTGCCAACCGATCCAAGGTCGTGGCAACGAGCTCGGGCACCCGAGCCATGTCCGAGCGGCGAGCAAGTATCCGAGAACGTATGTAGACAAAGACGCCAACGCAGAGAATCAGAATTGAAAGAGGGAGTCGATAAGCGAGGAGAGAGAGTCGGAGGTGACGGCGGAAGGCGCATGTGAGGGGGAGACGTGTGAAGGCTGTAGAGGAGAGGGCGAGAGCACCGGAGGGTCTGTCATTGCGTTGTCGCCTCTGTTAGTTCCATATGTCAGAACTGAGAAAAAGAAAAGAGATTTGCGGTGCTGACAACATCCGAGTCCCAGAGAGTGAATCGAACGGAGATGAAAGAAAGGAAGACTTACTGTTGAGTTTTGGCCACGACCTCCTCTTTCCCAATGACTTCGCCCAGAGCTCCCAACCACAGGTCGTCGAATTCGGTATCACTCATGCCCTTGCGTCGCCTGTTTCCAATCTCCCGCTTCAGATCGTGCTCGTTGATTTCCGGAGACCTTGCTTCTTTCCCATCCGCCGACAATTCACCACATTCCCACTTGGCCCGTCGATCACGAAGTTCTTCTACTGCCTTGTCCGCAACGGCCTTTACACGGCGGGCTTTCTCACTGTCGGGCTCGCATGTCGAGGGAAGAGGGATAAGTCCGCCCAGAGACAAAGGATGGGATGTGAGAATGAAGTCATGCTCGCAGCGGGCCTCAAAGTTGGGGTAACAGAAAGCATGTGGCGGGCACGGCTCACACTGTGGCTCGAGAACGTTGGCCCATTCAGGTACTTTAGTCTCTGCCAATGACCATGTAGGTTTGCCGATTCCGCAGAAACCGATCTCGACCTTCTCCTTACGCCACCAACCAGCAAAGCCACCGAGAAGGGATAAGATGACCACCCATGGGGCAGTCTTGCTCGCCTTGCTTTGTTTGCGTGCCCGACGACTGGGTTGGGCAGGGGCAGCGTACATTCGATCTGCCTGCTCGTGCTCTAACGCCAGTTGCTCCTCAGGTGTGAACTCCTCACCCGCATCATAGTCGCTCTCATCATTGTAACCCTCCTCTTCAGGTTCCTCCTGGTATGGCTCCAAATAAGGAGCCGAGAATTTGAATGGTGACCTCGTAGAAGCAAAAGACTCGTCTTCCTGTTTGATGGGCGTCTCTGATTTACGTGCACGTAGACCATCCTTGGAAGGACTTTCCGACAATCGAGACTTACTCTTCCGACTCGCACTTCGTAGTTTCTGCTGCTCCCAAGTAGCAGGAGAGCTTCCACTCTGGAACGGGTTATCATATGTGAAAACGCCATGATCGACTGGCTCGGGCTTTATAGACGGCTGACGGGGCATAGGGAGTTCTGGTTCGGTCGAGGGGGTCATTTCACTTCTCCGTAGCTTCTTAACAGTAGACTGTCGGGGAGTGGCCACACCCTTCCTGGCGACCGGTGTCGCAGCACCCTCATCGTTTCTGTCCGTGCGATGAGAAGTTCTACTCTGGGATCGTGCTACAGACCGCCTCGAAGCAGTCGCCGGTGTAGCTGGAATATTTTGATCATCCATATCTGCCGTAGATGCTCTCGTACCGCGCGTCGACCGGGCCCGTCGCGCACCGGTCGTCGACACACTCGAAGGCGTAGGTGGAGGGGGCATGGAATCCCTATCCGCACCCTCGTGATAGTCCTGATAGCCATCGAACGAACTAGCGACAGACGACGCTCGACTTCCCATATCCGTTATTCCATCACTTGTCCTCTTCACCCGTTCGCGATCTCGAATCAGTTTCTTCGCCTGGGGCAGGACCTCGTCCTCCAGGATGCGGATAAGCTGCGACTTCTTCGCTGAGGCCGGGTAGGAGACATCGTGATTGACAAGGATCGCTCGAAGACGGGGAACGGTCAAGGTATTGAGATCGAAATCTGGGGAGAGGTAATCCATAGAGTCTGCCATGGTGGGTTATGTCGATATCCACCAACGAAACAGAAAGAGGGGAAGAAAAGTGATGCAATCACTGCAGAAGCGCTCTCGAGACGCAAGCTTGCCGCGGTCTGATATCCAGAACGTCGCGGATCCGATTCCGAAATGGTATCGCCAGAGGGAAAAAAAATGTTGTTTCGACAATAAACCTGTCTATTCTGGACGCAAGAACACGTTGAGCTGGTATCCAGGGCAACAGC